ACATGAGAACACCAGAATTGAATTTGAGAAAAATGGCTTAAAGAAATGGCAACTTATGGTAAATATAGGTATGAACAGGTATGAAAACGGAAAGATTTACAAAATAACTGACACTGGATACAACAAAGCCTATGTAGGGAGCACTTGCGAAAGTTTGAGTAAAAGAATTGAGAGGCATAGAGCAAAATACAGTTCTTACAAAACAGGAAAAACAAATAAGAATTTGTCAGTGTTTGAAATATTTGATGAGTTTGGTATTGAAGATTGTAAGATTGAGTTGATTGAAAACTATCCCTGTAGTTGTAAGGAAGAACTATTGAGACGAGAAGGGCACTACATCAAAAGCATTGATTGTGTCAATAAGGTCATTCCACATAGGACGGAAGAAGAGAGAAAGGAGGTGGCGCGGGAATACTACTACAAAAATAAAGAAAAGATATTAGAGAAACACCTTGAAAAAATTGAATGTCCTTTTTGTAAGCATGTAATGTCTCAATACTATGTTCCAATACATCAAGGGTCAAAAAACTGTGTCAAACAGACAAAAATGAATAGTGAATAAAACGTTCTCAATAAACAGAATCGTTGTTATTGAGAAGGTTTCGGATTTCAACAGTGGGTTTGTTTGCTCATACATCTCTTGGTTTGACGGTGTTTTGAAAGATTGGACTTACTACTGATTACCTGTCCGCAGTCTGGGCATTGGAAGGGTTTTGATAGTTTCTTCTGATAGTATTTTGAAAAATAGGCTGGTTCTAATGGTTTCTTGTCATAACTTCCGTCAGGTTTCCATTGTGTGGTTGCTTGGGCTGGTGGGTTGTGGGGGTTGTTGGATTGGTGGAGTGCTTCAACCATTTGGTCAAAGACGTTTTCGTCCATTTCTTGCTTCTTTCCATCAATTACCATATAGCAGGGCATAATTTACTTTTTTTATAAGGCGACATTTCTTTAAGCGTCTTTGCTTTTTGCTTCGGGTAGTCGTTTTGGCTTAAAATAACACGTGTCCTGAATGTAGCGTATTTGAGATTAAAAAAAGATGGTCTCAGGACACTTGTTGAAAAATGTTTTTTGTTGTCAAGTCGTCATAAATTGTCGTTTTGTCCTCATCAGACTTGAGCCTTTAGCATCCCAGTCGTCTTGTATGCTATTCATATTGGATAATCATGTGCGACCTTATATGTTAAGATGGACGGTGTGCTTTCTATCACAACCCCTTCGTTCCCCGCCCAAAAAACTAACTTTTGTATCTATGTAAAACCAAGACAAGAGAAAATCCAATTTCCTCCAAACAAATAACACATAACCTTTTTGAATCCCCGAGGAGGTCAACACTCCGCTCCTCCGCACGTTTTCTAACAGGGTGAATGCAAGCGACTGGATGCATGTATATCATCATGATATAGGTAAATAGATGTATTGTGGTGTAAAATTACTGTAAAATAGCTATAACATTGTATATGTGGTCTTTGTGTGAAACCCCCATCTCCACTTCAAACTTAAAAGTTCTATCTCAATCCTTCTCCACTTCTACCCTTCAGAGTTCTCGCAACACACCTTTTGAAAATCAAAGCCGATTATGACTTCATGACCTCAAACGGGCTTGTGGGATATTGAGTTGCGCTTTGAAAATGGGAGACCAAAAACATAAAATGAAGAGTTCTCGTTGTGTATGGTTGTGCTTGTCATCCTTGTCAAGTGCTGGTTGTCTCAATGTATCGCTTCAAAAACTGTCCACAGCGAAGCCAAACACCCTTTTTCCATCCTACAAAGGTCTCTGAATGTGTTGATGCCCTGTTCATGTGGCAACGCAACACCGGCAAATCAAAAAGGGTGAACATGACATCAGTGTCTTCGGCTCTGTCAGGACGCTTCTTATGCAACATTGACTTCAGAGCACCACACCGCTTCTTTTGCCCCAGTCAGAAAGTCATTCAGTGACGAGGTCAATCAAGCATTCGGCACGGATGGATGGTCAGAACGTCCCGCTGCTCTTGAAGGAAAAGTCAAGTTTCCATACGGCACTCGGGGAAGTTGAAGTTTGGGAAAAATGAAGTTTCCCAGTGGGAAAATTCTTGAAGTTCATGGGAAAATGGGGTGGGAAGCGCTCCACTCCAACCCTGTCCTCAAGGTGCTGAGTCGACATCATCACCAAGCCAAGTTAGGAGTTGTTGCAAGCCGCCTAATATGTCTCTTGCTGCGTCTCCTGCCACTACTTGAGCTACTCGTGCATCCACAATGGGACTGTTGCAATTTGGAGCAAGAAGAACGCCAATTACTGATTTTACCGGCGATTCCGCGTTCTGCACCGTGTGCTTCACTGCGTTCACATTCTGAGCAATATTTGAAGCCTTTTTGTTGCAGGTTTCTGCATTCGTAGCTCCAGTCACATCCAAGAGCACCTGCCAAGTTACAAAACATACAAACACATGCAAACAAAGACTGAAATGACGGGATACTGTTTGTTTGCAACACATTCAGCCTTCCAACTGAGCTCAGGACTAATTCATCTGCTTCGGTCTTGAACCAAATGTCGAAGCCTTTGTGCGTGCCAGCCGTGCCACCTTCTGAAAGCGCGTGATACATGACACCATCCTCTATGCAGCGGATACCATCAATGCAGGGGTCTCCCTTCTTTGTGAAGACTCTTGCGTTCTTCCCATCGACTTGTTGCAATCCGTCTCGTATTTCCTTGCATTGAAACTTATATTTGCGAGGCTTGCTCACAAATCTAAAGCCGTCCTCTGCCTTAGCCGCTTTGCAGGCAAGAACCCACAAATAAGCTCGCTCTAAAAGCATACCGTCACACCAACTCCCAGATTCCATCAGAGATGAGCAGAATACTTCTTGGGCTTTCCTAAAGACTGACGAGGCTTTATCCCTGGCATCTCTAACTGCCATCAACCAGTCCAGCGGAAGAGTCAGCTTCCGGTTGTCCAACGAGATCACTCCCGGATACCTTCTGTCCTCTGCCCGGGCATCTTTTATGCCCAACAACAACTCCACTGCTCCTGAGACCTGTTCATCTAGATCTGGCAAAGCGACGCTAAAACTTCCAAGAGCTCCAATGAGCTTGCTCTCCAGGTTTCCCTCTTTGTCAAGCTGGTCCTGGATGTTTCTGGAAGTTCTGCGCAGGTCGCTCTTCTCATCCTGTGGAATGTGGAGCTGGTCAAGACCAATGTGCACAAGGAAAAGGCTTAGCTTGACTCGCAAAGTTGCGAGCAATCGTTCTTCCTTGCCACCCCAGCCTTCGGCAGGAAGTTTGATTTTCGGCAATCCTGCTGCCGTGGCAGGTGCAGCATCTGAAGCGTCCCTGGTCAGCAAGGGGCTCACATCTACTAGCATCATGGCAATTGGAAAGCGGCAAACCTGCGACGAACCCTGTGCGGCTAGATCCGGCGGTTCGAGGTAGGTGGCAATCACCTGACACATCTGTGGAAGTGAGCCAGCCAAAAGCAGTGCTCCTCGCGTGAATTCAGGAGATGTGCTCATGGAGCGGTGCTCGTCAATGTGGAGGAGAAGGCGGTTGCTGGCGTTTCTCTGCAAGAACTCGTCAACCTCCCGCAAACTTTGCAACTGTGGTTCGCAAGTCTGGCAGTGGACTGGGCAGCTGCCATTCAGTGCCAAGATACTCTCCATTCATCTGCCTCCTGAAGCAGTGGAGCATGAAGTCAGCACCAGCCCACTCCAGTTCATCCGTCTCCAAGCTACGCAGTAGGCGCTGACTCGCTGGGTTGTGACCTCATGCAAACATGGAACAAATATGAACAAATGAACATCGTCCTGACACACAGAATTGGACAAAGGAAAGCAAAAGGAAACTCAGCAGTCCGAATCAAAGTTCAGGCTGGTTGCGATTCCAAACGTTATTGGCAAATGGCATGTAGAGGTAGTGGGTGAAACAATGCTGGCTCCCCAGTTCCACACTTCGACAGAATATCGGCAGGATGGCGGCAGACTTGCCACGCATGGTTGGAGCTGAAAGGTAAGCCACTCGGTCTCTACGCTTGTTCGCATGTTCCAAGCGGCTGACTGCGACATTTAACTCTTTACCTCTACACAAATAGGGTTGTGAGTAGAGCTTGCTGACTCCATCTGTGCCTTCTCTCACTGGTAGGGATGCTTCATAACTCTCCCATGTCTCCAGCAGCGGGATGTTTGCCGTTTTCATATTGGTCTCAAAGGCATCCTTTGTCCTCTGAGCCAAGCAATCAGTGCCACCAGGTACTTCGTTCCACCAGTTTGACGGGCGACAGCGACCGGTGTTTTTGCCCGTACCAAACCCCCGTTTCCACGGGTCAAGACCAGCAAAACCCTGCGATGAGCAAATAAAGTTGCACGCAATCCAAAGCAGTAAGGCTCTCACAAGAAGGCATGACTGCCGACGCAATGGAACTTGACGACCCCCCATGGCACAGTCTGAACTTGAAACAGAATTAGTGCTACTTTGCTGCCGAACTTGAGCGCAGAGCCGGTTGCATGTCTTCTGTTTTTGATTTGCTCTTGCGCTGCTCGTTTCAACACTAGTTGCACAAATTCAGAATTTCCGGGCCGCCCTACATTTGAAGCGAGAAGTCGAAGACTACAAAGCCGGTGTTGAGTAGAGAAAGCTCCAAGACAAAGCCATTTTCGAAAAAACACAACAGTAACAACAAATCTCCCCCTCATCTGAAACCAAACAATGAAGTGAAAGTTCGGGCAAAAAAGTCCCAAAATCCCCGTAGGAAAAAACATCAAAGGTAAAGATGAAACATTGAACAAAAACATAAAAACCATAACAACCAACAATAAACGCTGGGATGTCCTAGCATCCCCCTTTTACCATTTTTTTCTGTGAAATCCCTTGTCAATGGAGATTTATAGCAAAATCATCGGTGAACTCCATGGTGGATTTTCCCGCATTGCAACCAGTTTGAAATTTAGATGGTTGTCTTGGGATCCCACATGATCATCATGATCCTACTGTTTCCGAATTCTCCGAATCCTCCGAATCCTCCAATGTCCTCGGGATCCCTGGCATCTCGGTGTCGGGGTCTGCCGTTCTCGGCCGCTTGCAAGGTCAGCTGAACCGGCTGCAGCAGCGACAGGGTGACGATGGTGGGCCCAGCCGCTGGGTCCTGGGCCAAATCTCATGTTCTAAATACATGCGATTGGAAGATGTAACATGTAACATGACATTCTTTCGAGGTTGCAAAAGTGTGGGTGGTTGGTGAGGTTTCTGGTCTTGAAATGTTTTGAAGACTAAAAATTGCGGCATTTGGGGGACAGATCTCTGTAGCTTGGGGAAGCAGACCATCTCAGGCCCTGGTCTTGGACATGAATTTTGACAAATGAACAAGAGCTCCAGCGTTGGGAATTCATGAAACTGATCCTCTTGCCGACATTCACCCATCAATGTGGCCTTCAGTGAACAAATCTCTATATGACCTTGCAATGCTTGAGGCGTGCAGAAGAAGAAGAAGGAAGAAGAAGAAGAAGAAGAAAAAGAAGAAGAAGAAGAGAAGCTGTTTCAGGTCTGCAGAAGATAAGGAAGAAGGGAAAGCACTGAGTGGCAAGTCACAACCCACTTATTCGTTTGTTGCATTCAGTCTGAAACTTCTGAAATCCGTGTACGCCTAGAAATCGTGCATCATGGTGCACACATCTCCCATTCTTCACTGAGGTCCCACATCGCCAAGTCAAGGCACTTCCACATGGCTGCCAATGCCGCTGTCTTCCAAATATTCGTTGGCCAAGACCTGGTTGATGCCTGCCAGGCTGCCAGGCTTGGGGCGTTCACAATGGTCATCAGATGTCATCAGCATCAACCACACTTGTTGCCATCACTATCATATCATATCACATCACATCACATCACATCATATCATATCACATCACATCATATCATATCACATCATACCATATCATATCACATCATATCATATCACATCACATCATATCAAATCACATCACATCATATCATATCACATCACATCATATCATATCACATCATATCATATCGCATCACATCATATCCAATCACATCACATCATATCATATCACATCACATCATATCATATCACATCATATCATATCCATCACATCATATCATATCACATCATATCATGACCGTCACATCATATCATATCACATCACATCACACCGTATCACATCATATCATATCACATCACATCATATCATATCACATCACATCATATCATATCACATCACATCATATCATATCACATCATATCATATCACATCACATCATATCATATCACATCATATCACATCACATCATATCATATCATATCACATCATATCATATCACATCACATCATATCATATCACATCATATCACATCACATCATATCATATCGCATCACATCATATCAAATCACATCACATCATATCATATCACATCACATCATATCATATCACATCATATCATATCCATCACATCATATCATATCACATCATATCATGACCGTCACATCATATCATATCACATCATATCATATCACACCACATCATATCACATCATATCATATCCATCACATCACACCATATCATATCACATCATATCATATCTATCACATCATATCATATCACATCACATCATATCATATCACATCATATCATATCACATCACATCATATCATATCACATCATATCATAACACATCACATCATATCATATCCATCACATCATATCATATCACATCATATCATATCCATCACATCAGATCATATCATATCACATCATATCATATCACATCACATCATATCATATCACATCACATCATATTATATCACATCATATCATATCCATCACATCATATCATATCACATCATATCATATCCATCACATCATATCATATCATATCACATCATATCATATCACATCACATCATATCACATCACATCATATCATATCACATCACATCATATCATATCACATCATATCATATCACATCACATCATATCATATCACATCACATCATATCATATCACACCACATCATATCACATCATATCATATTCATCACATCACACCGTATCATATCACATCACATCATATCATATCACATCACATCATATCATATCACATCATATCATATCCATCATATCACATCATATCATATCATATCACATCATATCACATCACATCATATCATATCACATCACATCATATCATATCACATCATATCATATCACATCACATCATATCATATCACATCACATCATATCATATCACACCACATCATATCACATCATATCATATCCATCACATCACACCATATCATATCACATCATATCATATCATATCACATCACATCATACCATATCACATCACATCATATCATATCACATCATATCATATCACATCACATCATATCATATCACATCACATCATATCATATCACATCCCATCATATCATATCACATCACATCATATCATATCACATCATATCATTAAAAAAAAAAAACATCATATCACATCACATCATATCATATCATATCACATCATATCATATCACATCACATCATATCATATCACATCATATCATATCACATCACATCATATCATATCACATCACATCATATCATATCATATCACATCATATCATATCACATCACATCATATCATATCGCATCACATCATATCATATCACATCACATCATATTATATCACATCATATCATATCCATCACATCATATCATATCACATCATATCATATCACATCCCATCATATCATATCACATCACATCATATCATATCACATCATATCATTTAAAAAAAAAAAAAACATCATATCACATCACATCATATCATATCATATCATATCACATCACATCATATCATATCACATCATATCATATCACATCACATCATATCATATCACATCACATCATATCATATCATATCACATCATATCATATCACATCACATCATATCATATCACATCATATCATATCACATCATATCATATCACATCACATCATATCATATCACATCACATCATATCATATCGCATCACATCATATCATATCACATCATATCATAAAAAAACATCATATCACATCATATCATATCACATCACATCATATCATATCACATCACATCATACCATATCACATCACATCATATCATATCACATCATATCATATCACATCACATCATATCATATCACATCATATCATATCACATCATATCACATCATCATATCATATCACGTCATATCATATCACATCATATCATATCCATCACATCATATCATATCACATCATATCACATCACATATCACATCATCATATCACATCACATCATACATCATATCATATCACATCATATCATATCACATCACATCATATCATATCACATCACATCATCATCATATCATATCACATCACATCATATCATATCACATCATATCATATCATATCATATCATCATCATCATATCACATCACATCATATCATATCACATCACATCATATCATATCACATCATATCATATCCATCACATCATATCATATCACATCATATCATGACCGTCACATCATATCATATCACATCATATCATACCACACCACATCATATCACATCATATCATATCCATCACATCACACCATATCATATCACATCATATCATATCTATCACATCATATCATATCACATCACATCATATCATATCACATCATATCATATCACATCACATCATATCATATCACATCATATCATAACACATCACATCATATCATATCCATCACATCATATCATATCACATCATATCATATCCATCACATCAGATCATATCATATCACATCATATCATATCACATCACATCATATCATATCACATCACATCATATTATATCACATCATATCATATCCATCACATCATATCATATCACATCATATCATATCCATCACATCATATCATATCATATCACATCATATCATATCACATCACATCATATCACATCACATCATATCATATCACATCACATCATACCATATCATATCACATCATATCATATCACATCACATCATATCATATCACATCACATCATATCATATCACATCACATCATATCATATCACATCATATCATATCATCATCATATCATATCACATCACATCATATCATATCACATCACATCATATCATCATCACATCATATCATATCATATCCATCATCACATCATATCATATCACATCATATCATATCATATCCATCATGTTCATTATCATTGTCGCTGTTTTCCTCATCACTGTTATCATCACCACCACCACCATGAACCAGCAGCGGAAAGTTCAAAGGTAGGCTATCCATCCCTTGACGTTCCTTCATCCGGGCTCTGAGATGCCTCAGGTCTCCTGGGAATCCTGAGGTATTGCGAGCAGATCTACTAGATCTACAGTAACTGAAACCTCCACCGAACACACCGGCCAGTCCCAGCCGCTCTATTCCTGCCTTGTCCCGGTTGGGAAAACAGCCCCAGGGACCTGATGGCAAGGCACGGTTGGATTTGTTGTCAACGGACCCAATGGAGCATCATGGAGCATCATGGAGCAGCCAGCGAAGAAAAGAAAACTCCAAAAAACGGCCCCTACCTTTTCAACACCCATCGTGACCAAAAAAGTGATCGTTTTCTTCAAGGGCATCTCAGCTACACCAGTTCACCCAGCCCCCAGCCACCTTACTCGTGGCAACAACCACTCAGGCAGCTCATTTAAGCTGCGTCCTGCAGGCTGAACATCAAACTTATGCATTCCCCAAACGAAACCGAGATAGCCTGAACCAATTCAACCGTTTTGAAAGGATGGTTCTACCATCAACTTCTGCGCAGCCTTGGCAGGTCCTTCTTGTGCTTCTTGGGAGCTGCTGGTGGTAGGCTGCAGCTCGGGAACTGCTTGGGAAGTTTGGTAGTAGACCCTGAGATCTGCAGCGAGCGTGACAGCCAGCTCTCCAAACAGCCATAAATGGCAGAAATTGATAGAAATTGTCTTGTGCCCTTTCTTTCTTCATGGAACGCATCTCCCCATCTGCACATTGGTGCGTTCCTTCCAACGAGTCCTCGGACCGTATCTGTGTAGACACTTGATCATCTGGTGTTTTCAACCCATCCCAACAATATCAACAATATGAAAGTAGATTTTGCAGATGAGTGCGAGTTTTGCTGTGAAGCCCGCGTTTGCTCATCCCAGGTAGGCCAAACTTCCAAAACCCGAGATCGGCCCTGCGTAAACCCCTCTCCACAGCTGGAGTGCATTTCCGCCACTAGGCACGGGTCCCAAAATTGGATGCCTTTACATTCGAGTGACATAGATTGGTAATGACTTGTAGGCCCTTTGGATTTTGCCCCATAGCCATAGCCATTCGAACCACCTTTCTCCGCACCCCTTGCTGTTCCAAGCCTTCCAGCATGACCGACTTGGGGGTGCAGTTCTGATTACAAGTGGATACATTTCGCGATTGCAGGGACCCCTATCCCAACTTTGGGAGGTTATATAACTTATATATAACCATATAATGGTCCATATATATAACCTAGAGTTACACCCATTGATGACATTGAATAACCTCAGTCCTGCACCCCGAAGTACCAGGTTGCCCACGTTTCACCAAAGGTACACGCCAAAGAATTGTTGCGCCCGGCGGATTTTCCGCATCCAAGCGGCTCCTTCACTGGAGTAAATGGTGTTGTGCCATTGTGCTTGGGCTGCATCCAACTCTTTATATCCCAAAAGTCAACAGACTATGTTGTACACGTTCGAGTCATGTTATATGTGCAGATACACAGGGCATTTATATAGTTTTTCAAGTATAAAGTGATGTGGTTTCAAGTATTAAAGCACGAAAGTGATGGGGTTTCATAAAATGGGGGATCCCCAAATCATCCGAAATTGGACCATTCTAGTCTTGCAACCCATGGTTTTGGGGATCCCCCCCTTTTAGCCTCCAGAGTTCCCCGCGGCACCTGGTCCATCCAGCACCTGCAGGACCTCGCTTTCCTCCTCTCGAGTGATGAAGTTGGTGCAATATCTCAGCCCAGCTGGGACCTGCGGCTGGGATCCAACTTCCATGTGGCCTTCTCGCCTTCTCCAGAAATGGGTTTCTCCCCAAAGTGGCTATGTTTTCATTGGGCTAATTGTCAATATTGTGATGAAACATCATTAAAGCCATGGGATTTGGGGCCCACGATTTTTGGACAGCTGGAGGTTTCTTTCTGCCTGCTTTGGGCCCTGCAGCCGGGAGCCAAACTGGGTCATGGGTGCGCACCAGGCAGCCTCAGGGTCGGCACACCATTCATGGCTGGGAAATCCCATATTTTCAATGGAGGTTTAGTTCGCTGGGAAAATCATTCAACTCGATGGGGGATGATTCACAGATTGTACATGATGGTACATCATGGTACTATGAATTCTTGGGGTTCAATGATTTTGAGCTACTGATATCTACTGATGACAAAATATGTCTCAAAAAAACTCTTCCTATCTCCAACTCACCACTGCGAGCCAAGCAACTCGACTTCCTGGACTGCTCCTGATTTGCTGGCTAGCTGCTAGTGGCACAACTAAAATTTGGGGATCATGATCAAAAAATGATGACTATTAGCAGCATGATTACACCCTGGACTATTCATCTCATTAATCATTGCAATATATTGCAATTTTTCACAAACGAGAAATCGCTGGTCTCGCAACCGAGACTTCTCCAACCCTGAAATCGGACTGGGCCAATCTGCAGGTCCTAAATCTGATCCTCTAGTCATGTGGCAGGTTGGAATCCCATATGGTATCCCTGCGGCTGCGTCTCGGGTGCTGAGATAGATTGAATATCCGGAGTTCTATGTGGAATATCCGAGTTTTACATGGAATATCCCCAGTTCTGTATGGATTATGTATGTAATATTATATAATATATATATATTTATATATATATATATATGTTATATATATATATAATCATTGTTTACAGGGTTACTAATCACTTGCTGTTTGGGATGAACATCCCAATCCAACATCCCCGGGCTGTCCATAGGGTCACAGCCGCCACTGCAGCACTTGCAGCGCGTGTGCGGATGGAAACGCAGCCAGGCATCAACTTGTCTCACTGGGTTCAAACGGTATCTTTTGGGAAATCAGGGGCATTTCATGGTTTTTAACCCATAAATACAATCTTGGTTCAAGGGACTCTCGGATTTTTTGCCGGAAATCATAAGGTTTTTCTCCATTAGACAATGGTGTTGAACATGCAAAAGGCCTGTAGAGCATCCCTTCATTGTGGGGTTGTCTGGTTTGAAAGTTGGTGGGACTTGGCCGGACCAAAGATGTCAAGGTATGCCAGTTTGTTCCGAGAATGCACGGCATGGAGGTATAACTCCTATTGATATGGTAAAGATATGTGATTCAATCAATATTAATTATCAAGTATGATTGATCATAATATTGGATAATAGCGATGCTCGTTTTCAAAATCAACAAGGATATCCACATCAAATATTTGATGATTTATACTTCTTCCACTCTGCAAATGATCCACCTTCCAGCAGAAGAACTTGCGACAACCACACATCTCCAGCAGAATTGAAAGCACTAGCCTTGAGCAAAATAGTCACTGGCGCGGCTGTTTTGGAAACCGCCAGGGCCACTTTTTTCCAGGCAAAATCCTCTACAAAGTATATGGGGTTTGCTTAAAACCGGTGGATACTTCACACTTGCCATTGTAAGATGGAAAATCATTGAGATCATGATCAACCATCAAATTCGGCGGTGCCCTATTTTTAGGAACCAAACCCAGATGAGCCCTTGCTCAAGAATGGTTCACTTGGAACTTGGTGAGAACTTAGCGTCCAAACCCTGGTACTTGGGTGAACATCTAAATAGCTGATACTTATGGAAGTTCATTTTAAAAAAAACTGCTGAATCATAATTGTCTATGATTAAAATTAGCATGAAATCACTAGTAATAATGGATGGACGTTCATTTTTAAAAAAAAGAAGCCGAAACGTGTATGTGTGTATATATATATATGTGTGTGTAGCAAGAAATAGCCAGTCTTATGGTTGTGCATCAAATAAAACATGCTGAATCTGAATCTATCAGTAGCATAAAATGGTGGCTCATCCGCCCAAACCATCCCCAACCCCATCCCCATCCCAATAGAAGCGCCTGAGTTCCGGCTGCAAGCCCCCACAGCTAGAGGCTACCAGCTGTCGCACCCGGAACTTAAAACGTCCCAGTTTGATCACCTGGGTGGTTTGATGTTTCCAGTGGCTTCTCCCGTCGGAGAAAAATGTGCGTCTTGGTGACTAGTGATTAATGACGTGTACAGTTATATAGTTCTAAAATGTTCTGAACTTCCATATTAGAGTTATGTATATATAGTTATATCATGTTATATCGTTTCATGCTAGTATAATTATCTTTTCATATGCAAAAGACTGGGGAACATGTGGGAAAATATACATGGTTGGCTTTGATGGGAATTCCAGGTTCAGAGAATATTGTAATCCCCAATTGTATAATACCAGGAGGATGTTAGCCTGTCTCATCGACCAACTGGTATTTGATCTCCGGACTAGGGAGATATGGCCAACACCAGTGGGAAAGTGACATACTGGTGGTACAAGCAACAAAAACTATGAGGTTCTGGATTGGACTATTTCCCAAAGAAAGTTCAGGCCTCAGATTTAAGGACCCCTGGTCAAGTAGGACCAAAATGCTTTTCAGAAAGAAGCGCCCTTGCACCGACCAATTGATGTGCGACCCTAGTGTGGATTCAAGAAGTCCTGCACACATCCGTTGATAATCTTTCCTTTTTCCGGCCAAAAATGGGACATGACCAGCTTGATCTGTTGAAAAGCCATTCAAAAGGTTTTTTCACCTTCCATCCTTTGGCGAAGTTTCCCACTGGTCTCTGAGGAAACATTGCAAAACCGAGGAGATCCAAGCTTCGCACATCTCCTTCTTGAAGTCGATGACTGCTAGACACCAAGTCTCTCCTTGGGCGGTTGAGTCCGTTAAGTCTTCCATAGCAAGGCAAACACAGAAGCACCAAAAAAAAGACTGCCGCGCCATTGTCGACAGATGTTGAACTGCATCTGAACTCATTAAATTAATCCAGAAAGCCATGGATGTGGCCAACACGTGTTGAACCTGCCATTTATCATGACCTGTTCTTGATCATATCATGCTATTGCTGTAGCGAATGGTTTCATCCCAACGCTCCTAACCCAACCCAACCCAACCAATGAGCTCATCAATGACTTCATGGGTCACTGGACCACTTCAGCCCAGCTTCACTACGAGCCAAAGTTTCTTTGAGCTGCTGGACCTCAGGCTTTCTGCGGCAGCCGCTGGTCGGGTCAAGTCAAAGTAGCGAAGTGGGCGTTGAAGAACGATAAATTTGGCGAACAGATTATTATTATTATTATTGTTGTTGTTGTTGTTGTTATTATTATGATTATCATTATCATTATTATATATATATATGTTATATATGTTATATATGTATATACACATGTTTTTTAGGTGTACGATGACGATGACCATGACCATGACGATGACAATGACGACGATGAGGATGAGGATGAGGATGATTGTGAGGATGATGATGATGAGGAGGAGGAGGATGAGGATTAGGATGCGGATGCGGATGAGGATGAGGATGATTTGAATACTCATGGAGTATCCAACTGAATGGTGGAAAATTGTGACAGCTTCTGTACCCGAATCATCAACAAGTCGAAGTGCCTGCGGTTTGTGGAACCCTGTCAAGCCCTTACGCAAGGTCAAGCCCTTACATCCTGGCGCTACCCACAAAAAGCTTGGTTGATTGACCTATTTGACTCATGACTCCCGCATGTGTAATGCTTGTAATACGTCTTGAAGCTCCATGAACTACAGGCCCCACAGCCCACCACTGGGGCTGCAAACGGTTGAGCCTTGTCAACCTCGGCAAGACAGTGTCTTATCTCAACTGATTGGATTATATCTGGCCTTTAACGCCAAGATCCATATTCAGTGTCAAGGTATCAGTAGGGTTGTTACGACTTTATGGCATCATATGGATAGACAGTAGACAGGTAACCTCCACTTCATCAATCCACAGAGCCGTCAGGGTTTCTCAGCATCGTGTGTCTGTTTCGAAACCCTAAACATTGGTCGGTTTGTCAGGAAAACGAGCTGCTTTGGAGGTCCCAAAATTTGAGGAGCACAACAGCTTCCGCTGAATCTCCTCAAGATTTTCATGTTAATGACAAAGTCATGTGTATATATATATACACACACACACACGCGTACATATAAATATGTCTACATATATGTGCGGATGCACGTGTATGTATGTACGTATGTACCTACGTAGAGGTAAGTATGTAGGTAGGTAAGTAAGTAAGTCAGTCAGTCTGTCTATATGTCTGCATGTATGTATGTATGTATGTATGTATGTATGTATGTATGTATGTATGTATGCATGCATGTATGCATGTATGCATGTATGCATTGATGCATGTATGCATTGATGCATGGATGTATGTATGGATGGATCGATGGATGGATGGATGGATGGATGGATGGATGGATGTATGTGTGTATGTATGTATGAATGTAATGTAATGTAATGTAATGTAATGTAATGTAATGTAATGTATGTATGTATGTACGCTCTTCATTTGTGTGAGTACATCTGCAAACCTCAGTAGCAGTGAGTTGGTGCTGCTGGAGCGCACTCTTAACACAGTCCAGCCTCTGCAAAAAATGTGATAGGGATTAAGCTTTATCAGAAGAGTGATACTTTTATCTATCCTCTCAACATGCTCAGGTATTTAAAGATTGATAAATCATTGCCATGACAGAACATCAGTTTTAAGTCCAGTTTTGCTCGCATGTGATTCACTGCGACATCGCTGGGCGTCACACCCAAAAGGTGCCGTCGCGTTGCACCAAGCGCAGCAAGGGGTCACCGTGTGTTGGGTTCACTTCCCTTTCGTTCGTCATCTGCACCTGGCAGATGCCAAAGCGGAGGCACAACAAAGTTGCCGCATGTTTTTCTGTATGTTTTGAAGTCGATTGCCATCAACAAAAAAAAAGATGGACCAATATGCACCAATCCCAATGTTTGATCCTGTGGCATTCACTGCAAGTCAGGCTTGATACGGCCTCCCCTTGATTTCGGATACAAATGGTCGACTTGTTCACGGTGAAGTTTTGGGTCGTCCTTAGAAGGTGATTTTTCAGCGGAACCTTACCACTCAAAGCAGGGGAGGCACCTCAACAATCACCTATCAAGGCTTGATTCCGACGCATCCTCAACATCACTGGTAGGCAGAACCTGAACCACTGGTTTTCAGGAGAGTTGGTGGCCCTTTTTTTTCAGCATCCAACGGCAGCAACGGCAGAACCTGTGAGGTCCCTACAACTGACTTGCTTCAAAATCGAAGAGGTCATGGGAATCTCGCGCCCAAGTCTTCGAAGTCACCTGCACCGGGGAATCTGATAGCAACTCTGAGTGAAGGGCAAAAGGGAGGCGGTCTCAAAATTTGAACTTTTGTTATGGACATTTTTGTTTTCATCGCCATTGTCATTACTATTGCTATTGTTCTGGTTCCTGTAATTATTATTGACACCATCATTATCATGATTGATATGAACATCATTATACCTTCAATATTGCATATAATATATATATAATATGCATATATATATACATACATGAATATAGATAGATAGATATAGATATAAATCAAATATACGCACATATACAGTGTGTGATTGTCCCTCCCGGTGTCGCTCCCGGTGTCGCCCTTCGCGTTTTGTTGCACCTTCACGGCGCTGGTGACCCCAGCCCCGGAGGGCCCAGGTGCCTGTCAGGGACCCATTTGATCAATGGATCACCAATGGGGATCCATTGGATATCCAATGATCATTCATAATCCATTGATTGTGGGGATGAATATCGATGAATAATAATCCATTCATAATCCATTCATAATCCATTCATAATCCATTCATAATCCATTCATAATCCATTGTGATCATTGAATCTATATGAATGATCATTGGATATCCATTGATTATGGGGATGAAATGAATCTATTGACAGCTATAAAAATCTATGACTGATTTAGGGGATCTATTGAATCTATATGAATCTATTGACAGCTATTGATCTAGAAATTGAGGATGCTGAAAATCCACGTGTCATAATGCCATCCCCCTATACCATTGTGCTAAATCATGGTTGGATCTAAAATGATCCAAACCCCAAAGTGAATCCAGCCATGTTGATTTGAAGCCCAGCCATTCATAATCCCATCCCCCAACTGTAAAATTAACCACCCAAAACAATGATCGTAAATGTGTGTAAATCTTTGTAAACATCCATCAATGACCGTTAGGAGGAAGGGATTAGATGTCTATTCATCTTCTTTGGATCGGCAGCTGAATCTGGAACTTCAAGTGAATATCCACCATTCATTGTGGGTGACACCAGTATGTTTTGGGTTGATATCTCATGTATCATATTGTCATCTAATCTTATATCATAGCTGTTACATAGTTATATCATGTTATATAGTTATATCCCATATTTGCGTCATTCATGTCACTTACCCATTGTTTGTAAAGGGGAAAAAACCATGATTATACGTATGTGAACCCCAAAAGCTGAAGCCACCAGTGGGAAAAGGACATCTATGGTTTTGAAATCGTCCAGCAGAATGATTGAAGAATTGAAGGGTACGGACAGGACGAAAAAACTGCATGACAACCTCGAAAAGACCCTTCCAACTTCCAACCCACTGAGACCTGCGCAGACATCGGCAATCACAACTGGTCTTTTTTATTTTGAGATCGAATTAGTTTCTACCTCAGTCAGCCGTGCGAAAATTTGCGTACAGCATCAAACAAATATCCAAGCTCCAAAGAAAGAAACTCAACTCAGATGCTTTACCTTTTTCACATTTGTTCACATTTGCTCACATTTTTTCACATTTTTCACCATATTGCCAGATTGTAGCCATTCTTGTGGCTCCATATACCACCCCGCGCTCCCAGATCAGTCTCCAAGATCTGCCAAGGCTCCGCGGCACAGGGCGGTCCGCTTTCTGCATCTTTGAGAAAACAGCGGCGCCAGAGACTCGAAGATCAGACAATCAGAACCGAATCCGTTCAGTGTACCCTCTGGTAATTTAACAGTTTGCGAACTGGAAAGATCCACCATTTGCAATGGGTAAATCCACTATTTCTATGGTCATGTTCAATAGGAAACTGTTAGTCATTACCAGTCAGTGTAGTTCGCTTAGGCAGGATCCCCATACCAATCCAAATGTCTCGTCCGAGACGGTCCGGCTGTCGAAGCGCCAAAACACGAGGACTTGTCTCATCTAGCTCGATGGGCATATGATGTTGTTTGCGAAGATCGAAACTCAACTTTACTTTTTTCAGAGTCTCTTCCCCTATAACGTGGCCAATTACTTACTGGGATAACTGAAATGGGATTATGCGCACGTTACTGCAAGTTGTAACACTATGACCCCACTGGTAGCAGCTTGAACAGCTGGTAGTTTGTAACCCCACTGGTAGTTTGTGAGCCTTCCAATAGAGTGGATCCACAAATCTGGAAAATCCCCCATTTGCTGATAATTTACCGCTTGCAAATGGGGATATCCAACATGTAACGTATGTCCCGAGTAGTTAATGGGTGTAAATTCGGTAAATGACCTAAATGACCGTTGTAAACTCTAGACAAATGGAGGAATATGATGGAATATTTTAGTTGACCCATTCGTTGGGTGGTATTGACCCTTCATGTACAAACCTTTTTACCCCTGCGTCAGTGCCGGGCCCCGCTTCTAGGTATCGCCCGGGACACGCAGTCCCAACGGCACCAGTAGTGTTGATGATCGGAATGGAATTGGCGAACCCCTGATATTGAAAATGTACTTACTCACCGCTTTTGATCTTTGTTGAAGAATCGGGTGGCTTTGACGGTGCCTACTGAGCGACAGTGCTTTGGACTAGCTCGTGAGAAGATCCCAGCTTGACTTTGGGTCACCATCTGCCTTCATTCATAGGCCCTGGCAGGGTGCCCACTGAACCAAATATCTGAATTTCTGGTAACTTCTGAAAGCTGGGGAGTTGCTGCATCGAATTTTGGATGATCCTTTTTCGACCACCAGGGACTCCAGCACTGCCTCTTTGAGAGCAGGAATATGGAGGAATCTAATCTGACTGTACCACCCAACCAGCAACACCAATTCCAAATCCAGTCAATACCCAGTTAATCTCGTTATTTGCTTTCTGCAACCTTTTTGTTTGGTGTTCAAGTTCCGAAGAAATCCATGATCCAGGACCTTGTGGTTAAAGCAACTCGAGGCGTAAGCTGCAATCTTCGGGCGGCAAACAGAAATAGCTCAGACAAGCGCCCAAGCCACAGACGATCGCCTGCGCCAAAGGCCCCAGGTGTGTTTGGGGTGTTTTGTTTGGGTAATAAAGAGGTAAAATGATGAATTGACCCGTGTTGTGGCAGTGGCTATCATTTATCCTTATGGGTTGGAGCAACCCTGTTTATTTTGGCAAACATTCTTGGTCAGGCTGCCGGTCCTGCCTGCAGCCCCATCACTGCAGGAACCTGAGACATCCGTCGTGATCGTGAGTATCGGTCAAATTTCAACAGCATTTGGACTTATTACCCAACACCAGCTTACCATTAGCTTACCTATATTATATGAATTTTATCATAAATGTTAATCTTCTTTTTAGAGTATGTTTTTTAGTCCAAACATCACTGTTTCGAATTTTGGAACCCCCAAATCCCATTCGAGAAAAGTCATTGGCTGTCAATGGACGACAACATTTCCCCATCTGAGGTCTCTACCCCTGCAGCTGCATTCAGAAACGGAAAGAGGGCTGCTCCAACCTGGATCCAAAACGATCCAAAAGCTCAGCTGCCAGGTGGGCCAGGTGTGGCTAAGAATATTTGGGAGCTTAGTAAGGCTGGTTGCAGCTTTCATCCATTTAATTATTCGTAGCCTTGAGGCTGGATGATTCCCCAAAGTTGCTGGGTGGGGATTCAGTGTCTCGCGAAACGCCGCGCAAAAGAGAGCGCCATTAAATAAGATAAGTAAGAATTATCAATTTCAAACATGTCCTCTTGCTTGAATTCTATAACACGCATCCATTTTGCCTCTGCAATATGGCGGGTGTCCCTCACGATCACCAGCTCTGTGCCACCAGGTGGCTAGCGCTCCCAGTTTTCCGGAGGCGGCAGAAACCCCATGCAAGGTGCCCCGGAATCTGAGGAAATGATGAGAAATGGGAGGTCTGTGAGGTGTCGGTTGATGCCTCAACCGGCCTAGTTGGGCTCTATGCTCGTGGAAACTTTATGAGAACAAAAGGTGATCCCACGAATTCCGTGACAAAAACTGGGCGACTTGGTCGGCTTTCGGGTTACCTGCCCAGCTCCACCATGACCACTCAGCTTGTCAGCCGGAAACTAGTATCACATAGTAGAATCAAGGATATCAAGGGTATCAGGGTGGTCATAGTATTGACAAACACATCATGGGCAAATATCCCACAAGGACCATCAGAAAACAAGCTGCTTGGAACGCCTAAAGCCACAGCCAAGCTGAAGTTAGGGCCTTTTTTAGCCTTGCAGCCATGAGTCTCTTCCGGAAAGACTTCAATGGGAAGCACGTAGGTTGATACGCAAACGCCCCAATTGAGACCTCGAACGCCGAGCCAGAAGAGGTTTGGAGATTCCTCGCAAATTTGCAGTGTAGCTCAAACACTCTTCCAATGTTCTTACAGTCTTTCTCTCACTCATGTATGGCTACAACTGTCAATGGTAGTGGAATCCTCGCCTTCAACAGTTGAAGTTGATATGCCCACAGGACTGGGGCTCTGGCCAAAGTAGATGGCACAAAGTAGGGTGAGGAGCACCTGGCCAAAACCATTGGGACCGCTTCTTGTGAGCTGCATCCATAGTCGTCACACAGCCACATCGGTAAAATCTCAAATTTTGCCCATAAATTGAATGTTTGCCACTGATGGCCAAAATCTGCAGGTTGGCGCAAGCATGCATTAAAACGAGTTGCCTCAACCCAATCATGAATGGGCCCTTACTTTAAAAAACATCCCAACATCTCCGGCGTTACCTTCCGCGATTCGTTCAGAATGCTATAGCTGCTAGCAAAAGCCGCGAACAGTGCTGCTTGCAACACCTGAGAGGTGCTGTTTGGTCGTTCAACCGCAAAACCCTAAGTGTTTTCTCATCCTGACTTCAGACTCAAAAATGTCATTGCCCAAGTTGTGGTCAACAGCAGCTGCCATCAAAAGAATGAACCGTCGAATCTTCCCGTAGCAAAGGATTTCAGATATCTATACGTATATATATATATATATACCATCATGTCATGATTATGTATAGAATATATACCATATGCATGGTCTACATACATACAGGTATACATACCTAGTATATATTGATATACCATGTATATTGTGCCTTTTCAGGTCTTCACTTTTGACGACCTGGCAATTTCTCCAAGCGGCGAAACCATAGAGGTTCAGCTTCTTCGCTCCCAGTATTGGCAAAGCCACCACGGAGAGCCAGGTGGCAGGAATGGAGAAGGATAGCCTTGAACCGCTGGTGACGCCCAGATCTCAAATCTATTCTTATTTGAAAATTGAAAAATAAAAGAACTGGAGACATATCAATTTATCAATCCTTCCCAAGTTTTAATTTTCTGGAATCTTTCAAAAGCTGCTTCTGCGACTTCGAGGCAAGAGGATTGAAAGCAGGATCAGTTGAAGTAGTGACTGCTCCCTGCCAAAGACGCTGAGAATGTGAGGCGTAAAGACAACAGTACCTTGGAAGGACAGCCGCAGCCACAACATGGTGAGCAAGTGTCATCCTTGAAAATCGAAGCAAGCACAACGCATGTCCGTTGTCTCTGCCATTTTCAGGAGAGGCAACTGGTCCCTATTTTTTTTGGAGTCCAGCTGGGTCCTGTTTCGTGGCAACTGCTGCCTTTAGTATCTTTAGTGGACAAGCCGCCATAAGCTGCCACATCGAACAGGAACCAACTTCCAGCAGTCCCAATCAAACGGCGCTGGAGCTGACGACAGCTCAAAGCCTGTCGAAAGCCTTCGATCAGACTATCTCCACTGCCTCGAACGGAGTCCTCTGGACCTTGTAGAGATGCTAACAGGGCCACCACCGAGGGTAAGGCACCCAGGCCCAAAATCCATCGGAACCTCACCAGTCACAGTCGCCAAAAGAAAGCGCTGAAAGATGTGGAAAGAACTGATGTCCCATCCGAGGCGCTGTGTCCCCGTAGCACCAGGTACGAGGTCCACCAAGATCAAGGCCACCACATACGGCGCCACCAAGCCCGGGGTCTGCCAAAAGAAGGCCTGGCCATGTGGCTCTGAAAAAGGGGAATTGCTATTTTAACGGCAAGATCAAACACGGGAGTTTGATGGTTTTGCCCCGGTGTTATCCCCAGCTTGTTCATACTGGTGGATGAATCACCGAACTCCATGACCGGCAAAATCCAGTTTGCACATGGGTTTGTCCAAAATAGCCGATACTCGTTTGCCGCATACCCCAAAATCGCCATTTCAATGGGGGGAAAATAATACTTAACCCTTGAATCTTGGGGTACTCTGTGCACACCCAGATGTCCCCCCGAAAAAGGGCCCCCAACAGCTGTGGGCATTCTCTGCCTGACCCACTCGGTCGGATCCCCCAGCTACGGCAGCTGTCAGGGGATAGGCTCCCCCTAGACCTGGAAGCAGTGGATGGGAATAGAAAAAAGACACGGCTTTCCCCACCTCCTTTTCACGTATACCCACATGTGTTTTCCAGCTCACAGGGTACTTGGAGACTCTATTGGCTAGGGATCCCACTGGGAGTCTTCTGCTCACATGACTAGAAGCAGCTTTCCAAACGCTCTGGCAGCTATGTGGGGTTGCTGAAAATAGTAGGATACCCCAAAACCCCATGGTTCATCATGGTCCATCATGGTTCATCATGGTTCATCATCACGTGCCCGATTCTGATCCCGCACCTACACCAATGATGAAGCGCCAGAGCGCGAGATGCGTCCAGAAGTCATGGCTGGCTTCTGCAGGAAGCAAAATGCACCTTGGTACCGTTGGTTTTCACATCAAAAATAGTTGGCACATGGCTGTTCAATTGGGGAGTACCACGTTCGGGATCCACCAGGATTAAAGTTTCAATTCCTGGCAACTTCCTGGAACTCAGGGCGCCACAAGAACGCTCCAAGGACGACCAGGGCTTTGGTCAACAACAAGGCCCGTCGATGCCCGATGAAGTCACCCAAAAAGCCCATGAAGAGCATGCCTCGAGGCAGAAATCCACACATGGATGTACCATATTTGGGGATGGGTCAACATACCATCCCTCTGGTCATTTGCAAGGTTTTGAACCATCAAAAAGCGGGATAGTATTTGGGGATAGTATTTGGGGATGGGTCAACACCTCGAAAGTGACCATATTTGGAGAGGATGAAGTTGGATGAATATGATATACAGATTTACATCTTGGGGTGAACAGAAGGGTACGAGTGCCAGGGTTTTGATATTAACCCATCTGACCATCGTAAACTAGTACTCAACCATCAAAAATCATAATTTTTGACAGTCAAGAACTGGTAATTGACTATCAAATATTGCTCCTGAATGGCTGATGTGGTGAAGCCAAAACCAGGAATTACTCCCAAGAAACTGACCATAAATGGACTAAATCACCTGGTCGTTGGTTTCAACCCATCAACCCATCCGAACACATGGGGACCACAGATTGGTTGCTTCATTGACCTGACAAAATCTGAACTTCAAATCGGGTACCCCATAGAACCTCTGATGGCAATCAATGGACTACTGGTCCTCAGATTTTAGGAGCTTTTAGGTGAAATGAGTAGGGAATGATACTGCGCAACCACAAATATCTCTGGATATCTCTGGATATCTTAATTTCTCATTGATATTTAAGATATCCCATTGATAAATAAGTTCCCAATTTAATAAATCATAATAGATCAGCCCATTGGTAGCCGAGAGAGTCTCAAATTCTGCCTGCTACTGAGCCAGCAAAGACCACCGCCAGCAGGGTCTTGTGCACCCATGGTGCCGCCGGAAAATCTGCCTCGTCCAAGTCATCCCAGGCTATCGAACGTGAGAAATGGCATAATTTTTCATTGGGGTTTCAGTGGTCCATATGTTGGCTCCACATATTTTAGTTATATAGGTATGGGTCAAAACCTACTAATCATGTGGTATAAGGGATGACCATCAACCTTGAGGTTCACTGGGGGTACAGGGTTTTGACCCACATCCATATGTTTCTGTAAGTTCTCGAATGTTCTCTAGAATCTTCACGGTTTTGGGGTGGTTGACCACGGTGTGATCACCAAAAGTCAGGACTTTGAGCACCGATCCCTCAGCTTCGGACGGCCGCAGGGTCACTGACGTGACGGTCACCGTGGGTGGCCATGATGGCCATAGCGATACTGGCACCTGCACAGCGAAGGCCACATTTGATACTTATAATCCACCATATAATAGTAAATGTATATATTTAGATTATTTAGTGTAATTTATACGTATAGTTATAGTGAATTTACCATCGGTTCCCAGCGCGTAGCCTCATTTACAATCAAGATATATACCCTGGTACACGTTTGAATGGTGCACGTGAAGTCGGTTGCTTCTGTTCTTGAGGCTCCCACATTGATAGTTGTACCTCTGGCACAAAGGGTGATCAAATCGTTGGTTGAGCGGGGCCTGGTTCACATCCCCAGCCATGAGGTCCCCAAACATAGGGCGTTTATGCTGAGAATCGCAAAACATGGCACAGCAAGGCCACTACGTGAGAAGCAAAACCTCCATCTTTACAGTGCTTTCTCGAGACAGTGGCAAAAGTAAGGAGGTTGGGGTTCATGTCAAATCAGATCCGTTTCCTGCACAAAAAATAAAGAACTTCCACCCAGTCGGAGTCAAAGAACTGAATGGAGAAGTTGCTGCAGCCGACGGCAAAGGCACGTAGCCATCCTGCCAGGGAAGCTGTTTACCAGAAATGCCTCAAGTGATCCCCTAGCGCAGCAATGTCATCTTTCTAAGGTGGCTTGTAAACAAGTTCCCAGTCGCTTCAAAGATGTCGAAGGGATGGTATAGTACTAGTAGCTGCAATCTTGAATCTTGATCCCACACCGACCTGAATTGGGCAAAGGTTTGCTTCCTTCAGCGCTTCCATACCTTACACTGATTACAGGGTCAGTTGAGGCCTCCGACTCTACAAGTCTCTGACCACTTGACCAGTGCCAGCCCCTATGGCATCGTGTGGCATCGTGGATATGTCTTCAGTCCGAGCTTCCACGTAGCCATCCTGCCAGCAAGAAAGTGGACCTGACTTGACTAGAAGATGGCCACAGCAATCCTTCGCCAAAAGAGCAGGCACTACGTTCACCTTGAAAAACAACAGATTGAGACTCTTGAGACTGTTGCTCCTGTTGCAAGTGGGCAATACCGAACTCATACTCTTTTGGAGTCCGGAAGATTGAAATTCTGGTGCATGAAAGCATCTGCAACATGTTGACATGTTGAAATCTCGCACGTGTTGCAATGACTTGTGTGTCGTGGTGCACAAGGCTCCTTTTTGAGCCGCCCATAGGAGTCCATGGGAAGCAAAGACAACCTCACGCCCCCTACAAAGGTCACGTTGAATCAGCAGCAGTCTCATCAATGCTTGCATGGGTTTCGGTGGACCAACAGATTAGAGGTATCGATGGTCTTGGTTGCTGTTTTGAATCATATCTATTCACAGAAACATGTCGTTCTTGCTTTTGGGGATGGACTTTTTGGGATGGACTTTTTATCTGTGGCTTTCACAACGTTCATTGCCATGTCTGCTTGTCTACGTGTTTGTTAGGATAGCGGCACCAAATGATGCGCGGGACCTTTGTAGTGGGCCTCAGCGTGAAAAAACGCCGGGGATCACTAGCAGAGCATTCGAGCTGGACAGTCGACCGGATAGGTTGATGCCAAGGCGGGCCGCACGTGGGCCTTTAAACACCACCAGGGCTTTGGTTCGGAAGTCATTTTAAGTCGCTCTTCAAACCATAAGGTCTGAAAATTTAAGGAAAACCTCAAGACGTGAGGGTGAATCATGACTTTTCCCCATTTACAGTATATGCCCGTTTTGGGAGTGGACAGTATGTCCCATTTTCAGACACACCCATATTCAACCACTGTCGTTCAAGAGCTACTGAAAAAACTATAATACATTTGACGGTGGATAGACAAAATCCCTCAAAATATACCCCGAAACACCTGGCCAACCATCATTGGAGACTTTGGCCACACTTTGCCGGAATTCCCTTCATCCATCCTGACATTAAAGGTGTTAGCACCCAAAGATTGAGTGAACCAAAACCCGAGAGTTCCATCAGAATCTTTGATTTTCGTCAAGCACATGGTTTTGGGACGCCCATGAAACACTGTGAAACATCATGAAAGGTCTGTTTCTTCTGGCGATCTGTTCCCCAAAAAAAATCGAGCCAAAGCTGGAGCCATATCATTCATTTCGGCGACTTGGCAGGGCCTTTGGCCGTGTCCGCAGCGCCATGATCATGGCTTGTACTGGTACTCCACTGCTTTAGTTGCAGAATTGGTCCAACTGCCTTCGAGATCTTTAAGGGAGGGCCTTGCATTCGGAAAGCTCCGTTGGCTTTGTATGATGTCCATTGATGTCCATGATGTTGGCAAGCTGGCATGTCGGCTGCTTTCCTACACGAAACAAAAGCCCATCTCCTGTCTACAATTCGAATCAAGGAACATTCCGCTGATGGCTACTATGACATTCTATAGAAACATATCTGACACTTTCTGTAACTATCCTCACAACTGAAAATCCTCATGGGTGAAATGCTACTGATTTGCAACTAGGGATCTTGCAAAAAACATGCTATGTTATATAGAATGAAAAGTTTACATTCAATGTTAATGTGCTACCAGTTTTTGCCTTCCAAATGTTTCAAGAACAAAAAAAATGAAAATGCTGTCGCAGAACCTTCATTTCTGTCCAAGGGAAGAGCTAATGGAAGAGTAAGAAACCACCCGTTGAATTCTTTTCTGTTTGTTGCAGGGCGACAATGTTCCGACTCGAAAGCTGCACTTCGAGCAACATTTCGCGGCATCCCAGTTTTTGTCCGCCAAGTTGTGGCCTCCTGAAAAACTCGCCGGTGGTCCTCAAATGTCCTCAATAGAGCTGGTCCCAGTTGACACAACGACCACCTCGGCACCCCGACCATGACCCGGCTGCTGGTTATCTATTATGGTCAATGGCACCCTGATTCCTTGCTGCAAACCAGCAACAGGAGCTGTTGACATTGTCAAAGTGATCCTTGTCGCACTGGAAGCCCATCAGTTTGCCTTAGATCCCGAAATTGGTGACATCAGATGCCCCAAGCACTTCTGAGCCCCCAAGTCCAGGCCCCCGCCGAGTGGCATGCTGGACACTGCCAGGAAAAAGACCGTGATGAGTTGTTTGAACAGGGAATTTTCTCAAGCTTTTGGAGAACAACCTCAGCACAGGAACCAAATGCCCGAGGCTTCGTTTTCGGATACAACCCCCTGTTCTTAGGTGTCAAAGCTGTTTTGAGATGATCCTATAGAATTTCACTAGCCAAAGCATGTGGGAATCGACTTCCAAAGCCATATCTGGGTTTAGGGTATCATGCGGGTATCATCGTTCGCAGTTTTGGAGGACACCCCAAGTTTTGCCGTCAAAGCTCTGCAGCTCGGCTCAAGATATGGTGAGTATCACAGCATGCATCTTGCACATCTTGAGAGGCCAAGGGCCAGGTCCACAAGAAGGACATCATCGCCTGCATTTGTTCTTCTTCGACAAACTCCTGCAGTTCCAGTTCCGCTGCCACTGAGTCTTCCCTTTCTGCTTCCTCCAGAGCTGCTTCCAGGTCTGGTTCCTCCACGGCAGGGTCCAAACGCTGCAAGACCTGCGACAAATTGCTGGGAACAGGTGATTTTATTCTTGGTGTTGGGCAGGGACTTGCTTCCAGTTTCTCTTCATCTTCAGTAATGCCCAAGAAGTATCTCACCTCAGGAAAGCGCGCTAGCAGAAATAGTGAAATAGTGAAATACATAGCCTTGCCCAAAATCGGCCGAGAAATTCGGTTCAGCAAACTTGCATTGTGTCTCACAGGATTGTAGGATATTCTGATATGAATGATATGATCCTTCCCTGTCCAAACCAAAGCCAGTGCCTCTCTGGGGGTTCCCCACGGTTCCCGGCCCCACGGTTCCCCACAGATCCCCACGGTTACCCATGTGAAGTTGCCAGTCACACAAGATTCCCCAAGTGTTTCTTCAACTCCCACCTCACCATCAGCCTGAGGGAGCACAGACACATAAATTGCCACCCGAATTTTGGTGTCGTAGGATCCTTTGAGCCTAGCTAGAATCGGCATGAAGCCTCCATCCTGAACTGCCCGAATGTCATCCTGGAATTGCTGCCAGTCCAGTGGTGACAACAGGTCTTTGAAGGACGTTCCCACCAAATCGAGAGTCGAATTCTGGTACAGCAACAAGCTCAACTTGTCGGAATCCAGGATATTCATGTCATTATCCACCTGCACCACTGCATCGCAGATACTCCTAGGGATCTGGGGATCTGGCATGATCTGGCAGACAGGCGGTCGGCGGTCAGCCAATGTGGTTTTGCCGTCTCTCAGCCAGTGAACTAGTTGAAGGAACATAAGACAGGAAATGGGATTTTGAATCATTATACTCATTATATTTATATATGTGTGTATGTATATTGTAATATATCATATGTACACCTATGTATCTCTATATATACATATATGTATACATATATATGTATATGTACATCAAATGTGTATATATATATATATACATTATATATATATATATTATATTCACATATATATATATACATATGTATATATATATACATGTGTATATATATATACATATACATATATATATATACATATATATGATATATATATATATACATATATATATACATATACGTATATGTATATGTATACATAAATATGTATATATATATACATAAATATGTATATATATATATGTATCATATTTATGTATGTACATATATATATACATATATATATATACATGTGTATATATACGTATATGTGTGTGTGTGCGCGAGCGCATAATCATACATACATGTTCGGCCAAATTCCCTCCTCAACAGGTTCATGACAGTCTCATGCGCCGCGCTTAGCGCATCCACCCGAGCCCGGGCCCTTAGTAAATCGGTTTCAGCCGCTTGTGCTCGCAGGGTTTCCTCATGGGCAAGTGCTTGAGCAACCTCGGCTGTGCCGGTGGTTGAATCACCCATCGATCCCTGGGTTCTAAAATATCTAAGGATTTATATGATATAATTATATAATATGATATAATGATATATCAATCGTTGTGAGCGGCAGAATTCACAAGTTTTGGAGAAGAAACATTTCATCAGAATAATTTCCTACTACTTGCCCTCACAAGAATCGTTTCTGACACATGTCATGGCACCACGTAATTACACTACATCAGTCATCTGCCTACATCTGCCCTACATTTGTCCAATTACACACATCTGTTTCCAACATCTGCCTTCACTTCTCTGCATTGACTGCACAGATTAATCCAGATTAATCATGATTGATCTAGAACCAAAAAAAAACGCAACTACTTTGACCTCTAGACTAGTTGCCAAATATTTTTGTTTGTTTGTTTTGTTTTTGTTTTTTTGTTTTCTTTTTTTGTCTTTTTTTGGTTCTAGATTAATCACGATTAATCTGGATTAATCCTGATTAATCACTGGCATAAGATCATACATCACAACCCTGGCGTTTCGCTTGACTCCGGCTCTTAGTTCGGGCCTGCTTGTCTGCTTCTGCGTCTGTGTCCGGTCTTGCCCTGTCATGTAATGTTTGTTCGGTTTTCTGGGGGTTTTGGTGTGATTCTGATTAATTAATCTGGATTTGTAACGTCCTACATCATGACTCCGGCTAGTTCCGGCCTTCTTGTCTCCAAATTGGAAAATCAGATGCTCGGAGGCTTGGGCATGGGTTGAGGGCAATTTTGTAGTTCATCTATTTCCACCTAGTTTTCTGCAGAATTTGGCACTGTTCAAAAACGATGCCGCAACAATTGAAACAAAATAAAGCAGACAAAGTGCACCTAGGACATGGGTTCGGCATTTTTTTACATACAATCTTCCAATATCTGTGATCCCAAGTCTAATTTTTGAAAGAAGGTGATATTCCTTACAGAAAGTGTGGCCTGACTTTGCGCATTCTCTTTGAAAGATTGTAATATCTTTGAAAAGAGTGCAGTAATGGTCTGAAATAGACCTTCAATGCGTATACAATTTCATAAAAGTATGGCGCCTTCTGCTAACATATTCCAACACCATTTCAAATTAAGGTCCGCTTATATATATATGCACACACATATATATATATATACCATGGTGTTCTTTTGTGATCATGGCATTCTTTGAAGTGAATGTTTATAACATGTATAACTATATGGAATATAAGCCTTCAAGAAAGTGCATCATCTCTTTGAAAAGGGTGCAAGATTTCCTCAGACATCAAAACATAATTCCTAATTTCAAGATGGAATTCTTTTGTGTTTATAGTGTTCCTTTCATGAAAAGAGTATGATATTCCTTGAAAAAATGTGGAAAGTGTTGTTTTTCTTTGAAAGCTATCAGCTCCTTGAGGGAGATGCAATATTCTCTTCAGACAATGGAAATTTATTCCAACATGTAATCCTTTTACACATGCAGCACTCGTTCTGAAATAATATGGTTGCACCTTGGTGCATAAATGATGGAATCACTTGATTAAGAAGAGTGCACAACTCTTTCATATTGAATACAGAAACTAGTTTCTTTAGAGAAAGACCTGATTCTTAAGGAACAACAAACGAAAACTGAACCTGTTCAACATGAATACTACACGTGTGAAGACAATTATTTTTACTTTTGCAGGAACATGGCTTCTTGAAAAGGATACTATATTGTCTTATGGTGGGGTACTTCAACATAGTCATTTGACATGATGTTCAAGGACTATAGTGTTGATGCATTGGGTATTGCACTTTTGACATGAATTCTGCATATTAAAGGGATGGTTGTAAATCGAAAAGCATGCTACATATGGCACAGGAATATTGCCTATTTGAAGGGATATCATGTGGAAGAAGATGTCGCTTTTTCAGAAACGAATGCTGCATCTTTTAGATTTTAGAGGATTTCTTCATAATTGTAGGGGTATTGCTTGTTGAAAAAAGCAGTGTACTTTTTCAAAGGAAAAATGCAATTTAATGAAAAATGCTTCTTTATAAGCTAGGGATACTTCATTGTTTAGAACAGGAATGCACTATCTTAAATTCATGCTACATATTATAGAAACATGTTTACCCCTAAATGGAAGGCTGTACATCTTTAGCGACGCCCTGCATCTTTTAGAAAAGGAAAAAAACCTTTATATTTTGCAAGGGATACTGGAAGGATTCATGAAACTATTTCAAGGATATTATATAAGATGCACATATGTTTCAAATCTGCTTATTCCTGAATTGTGTGTATTTACATGTATGATCATTTATGGCTCTTTGACTCTGATGTATTTACTTAATTGCATTCAATAAGAACAACATATTTCACAAGGAGACTCTTAAACAAGAAATATAATATGAATTTAATAAGATTTTGCGTGGGAAATGCATGGAACTAGATGTCCAATAATTTCTGAATAAAAACCTGCCTTTCTTGATTTATGGCAATTTTGAGCACATAGTTGGGTGAAAAGTAGCACATAGTTGAGTGACAGATACAAGTATGTACTTAAAGTGCAACCTGTTCATATCTGGATCAGAAGGATTTGCAAAAAAGAATGCCATTCATTTAAGCAAATGTTCTGCCGCTCACAACAGTCCCCTCCCATATTAATATGCCTTTATTATTGGACAAAGCCATTAGGGAAGTCCATAAGGCTCCAAAATTGATGGCCTCTTCGCTCCCAGCAGCTGCGGTCTCGATTTCACATCTTTGTGCCTTCATCTTGGCCTCCTTGCAATCAAGCTCGGTTTTCAACCTGTCGCAGCCCAACTGACACTTTGAACACTGACAGGCTGACAGGCAAAGCAAACAGAAAAACATGTCGATCAAAAAGCTGTTGCGCAACGGCCAGCCTCCCGACGATCGTTAGGCTGACAATGTTTGCATAGTGGGCAGACATGAGCAGCACCGCAAACATATACACCCTTGGCAAAGTACCCACTCCCTTCTAAGATTAAAGGGAAGATTGACCACAAGCTAGGAGGATACTCGTACTAGAGTTGTTCTATTCCGTCACTTAGAAAGGTCCTATCCTCGGAGGGGCATTGTCCAAATTGAAGGTATAAATTGAGAGATCAATGACACTGCACTGTCACTCCGTGCCCCTGCTACATGCTTGTGGAATCAGGGTTTCAAGTGGGGCCCGGAAAAAAAGGCAAAAAAAAACACTGTAGGCGAGTTCATGGACCAAATATCTGGCCTTGACTTTCAGTATTTGGAATTGTGTGTATATAATTAAGTTTATAAGCCAACTAACCAGTTTGAAACCTGCAAATCATCAGGCGACTTTAAAACACAGCGGGAACATTTCAAAGTCGTCAAGACTCTGCAAGCCCAAAGAAGGAGCACCCTCGCCCTCCTCACCAATGAACAGCGTCAGTGCTAGAAAGGCAAGTGAGTGCAGCACCGCGCTGGTCCAGGTCAATAGCTTTGGCAACTGCAAGGCCGTCGAGATAATCGTCAGGAAGACCATGTGATTTAACCACATGTTTTCATCCAACCGCAGCTCCCTGGCCAATAGATAGGACAGTTGAGCCGCAAGGAACCAAAGTGCCAGGGCCAACCAAATACGAAGGCGGACTCTGAATTGAGGCCGATGCTCACTCAGCAAGAGGATTCCACTAATCAGCAGAGGAAATGCATTGCTACCACCGACAGTCAGACTTGACGGAATGCCCTCGTAGTCCTGCAAACGTTTCACAACATCCAATGGCGCAAGAAACAGCCAGATCCAAATGGGCTTGTCTGAAGATAGCGAACAATATACACAAAGATTGCCATTTTAATGGGGAAACTGATGAGAATCCAGTGGAATATGCCAGGCTTCACGAATAAAGGCAGGCTGACCTGTGGCGATCCAGCCTGCAGCAGGGAAAGCGCTGTAGTGATCATGCAGAAAGGAGCGACCAACCGTGTGAAGGCCACATAGGCCACATCCGATTCATATTTGTCTGCCTCCTGGCGCCATAAACACCATGGATCAGGACCCGGGTCGACTGAACCAGCCCCTTGGTTTTTGATGCGCTTTTGTAATATGGATTGACCCAATTCTTGGGGATAGCCATTATGAGTGTCTCTCAGATCTTGAGGCACAGGGGTAAGGGACGAAAGCTAGCTTGGCAGGGAGCTTGGCATGAAAACACAATGATGCTGAGGATGCGGATGCTGCCGAATTTGCTGCCGGTGGCGACATGCCGACTGGGATTGAGCTTTGGCCAAACTGCTTGTGAACCAGCCACCCCGTGGGGGAGGGGGAGTAGTTAAGTATGAAGTTGCATGCGATTGGAGACAGCCCCCCAATAATTACCTTGCTAAAGCAAAACAATTGGTTCCCCGTTAAAATGACCACTTTGAGGTGGTTTTGGTGTCCCCAATGCAAGAACTCACCCCGCATAGTAATGGACACTTTCCAGCTAAAGGAAATGTCTGATCTGCAACAACGGCACAAGAGGCTAACATCTGCGCAGTAGCTGCAGTAGCTCAAGTCACCGGCCATGACCAATTCTTGCATCAACATGCAAACTGGACCAGAACTTGTTTCACCGTAGCACAGCGGAGCACACATTTTATAAGTGAAATATCCCTGATCCAAGTCCGTAATCTCAGAAAAAAGAACTTTTAGAATCTGCTAGATTTGGGTGATGCCGGAAGTACTCCCAAAATCCTGGGAAGGTTCCAGCCTTGCCCAAAGCCGCTGGAGTCCTCGAAAATGGTCGAACGCTCGGAGTCGCGTTGCATCACTGGAACTTCGGGCACCACTGCCATACCTTGGCCTGTGCCCTGCATCAGGTTGGAGCCATTTCCGTGAGATGTGTGTCATGGGATGTGGAAAAAGCAGGAGTTTGCAGGGCGCGAAGCCTCCATTGATGGCTTAGTGTCTATTAATTTGCAGTACACTCAAATTATCACAGGTCCACAAATGTTATATACGAGATTATACGAGTATCGACTGAGTACTGACCAGACATGGGCTGCATGGTGGTGAAAATCACTGGTACCGTGACAGCGAAGCCTTGCCTGGAAACAGCGAATGCATTGCTTGACCTGACATGTCACGTCAGATCAGAGATGCTGATATGGCTATGAGTCAAAACGCCAGTCCCCCGGGTACCCTAAGTCATAGCTGATATAGCTGGATCTTTATTCCCCCAGTCATATGGTAATCTAGCGACCAGCCTGGCTCGTGGAAAGGATTGCCTCTGATACTTCAGATGCCAGACATAGATGTTCAGTTTCAAAGGAGGATTGAATGCCCTGTACCAACAGTACAACATCAAAAAGTCCACACGGCATCGGCGTCTCATGAGGCTCCAAAAGAAATCGCAACCACTCGTCAATTTATGCGGATTTCAAACGAACGGTTTCAAATTTTGAATTCAGTCCTACAGGGATGAGCCTTGACTTAAGTTGGACTTAGGGGCTTTATAAAAGGACTTAATCAAGTTAACTTGAAGTTATGTTAAGTTATGTTATAGGTTTTGTAAGTTACGTTATATCTTTTGTATTGTTTCTCTAATCTGTACTATGTTTTTCAATTCCTCATTTGTGCCTGGTTGTGTTTCCATTGCGTGTCTTTTCTGTGGCTTTTGACCTCGGAATGCGAACAGATTATGGTAAAAACATGACCATGTTGCCTTTGGCAGTGGTCCATGCAGGGACATGCATGTTTGTCATGCGCGTGTATTCAACAACATCTTTTTGTTTTTTGTTTTGGAAGGTTTTGAAAGAGTCCTTCGCAGTTTTTATGAAACACAAAAAAACACATTTTAACACATACGCGTTTACAAATGCAATTGGTCTGAGACGTGGTTACACCATCGCGTTCCCTTCTATTTTTAATCTTTTCATGAGGATACACAAGTGTGTTCTCTTCTTTTTGTGGAAACACATCCCAAACATTTACATATTTCACTGTCATGTGATTGTAGGTGGAAACATTTTTAATACATTCGCGTTTACAATCTCTGTTTGGTTTATATGTTGGGAAACACATATATGTATTTATGTATTATCTACATACAGTCGGGAAACACACGCGCGTATCTATGTTTTTATTGGCTAATGAAGAGGCGACACATGCGCGTTCCTTTGTTTTCTGGTCTATTCTATTGGATATACTCACGCGTTTCCAGATGCAGCTTCTCTCATCCCTCCACACTAGGCCAGCCATTGTTTTCTCCCGGGAACACTGCGTCAGTGATATGTTCTGCAAGGCTGTATAAGGAAAAAAAGGCCTATAGGCCACGAGACTCCGTTCCAGCTGTCAAAGTGTTCCAAACTTCTTGCGATAAAAAAGAACTGCAAAAATTGAAATCCTGCAATGTCGCTCTCTGTGCGACAGCGGTTCCTGGTTCTGCCATGCTTTCAAGGATTTAGCGCTTCACTTGGGAAAAAAAAATGGCTACCATTAAAAACATCGTTCTAGACAACAAAAACCGCTATCTTTGCTAACTTGTTGTATCTTTTTTTGACGTATGTGCTATCTCATCTTATTTCCCTATCTATTGATATAAATTCAACATGACTTATATACAGGATACCACCATTTAAAAGTATACTTGAACCATGTTATAAAGTTAAATATACAACATACAAAATGATTTGGATGTCAAGGCACATCCTTGTATGGATTCTGGGTCAAGCCCTTTGTGCTTCATAGGGAAGATCCCAAAACTGACTGAAAGATTCAGGCAGGAACTTCGACCCATTTTGCGGGTGTTTAGTTCTAGCACACAGCCACATGCTGGAACCACGCCTTTAGAAGCAGCGCCAGAAAATAGAACAGCAGCACGCACACTTTGATCCAAAACCAAATCTGCCCATTGAACTCCATGATGTGGAGCCAAAGGGCAGAAGTCTAAAAAGAACCTCTTGTGACACTTGTGGAATTGCGCTTTCTTGCTGGTCTGGAAGAAATGTCACGACTCGTTCGTGGGGGGTTAATATGATTATGGAGATATGGAGGAATATAAATAAATATATAAATGTATATAAATGAATACAAGGGATATGCAACCACCTGGTTTGATCATGTTTGATCACTACTCGAATGTTTTGTGTCCACCTGCATCAGCCAAGACGGCGCCCTGAAAAGGGTGGTCGACTCCACAGCCAACAATTTCCATCCCCTTCCTACGATTGCACGAAGCCTGTAGATTACAGTAATACATGTTTTAAGCGTCCTAGCAGATTCGTGTACCCTTCCCAAAACAAGAATCGCTATTCAATGACCATTTCACGCTGGTAAGCTGGTCAAAAGTAAAAATTATCATCTTTTCAGCAATAAAACGCAATGGAGCTACGGGGGAACGAAAAAAAGCCTGCATTTGGAAGCCCAACTGGACAACCAGGGGATCTTCAGCTGTTCTTTTGCTCGCACTTCGCAGCTCACAGCAGCTAAACGCGCTCTCCTTCTGTGCCAGGCCTGATGGCTACAGGAAGATTGGATCCCCGCGGTAAAATTGTCCGCAACTTCTGGAAAACTCCGAAAATCTGTTGCTTAAGAGCCATTATCCCTATTGTTTGATGGCCATTTGTAGGGCACAAAGTAGGGGGTACTTTAAGGCAAACCCATATTCAACTACTGTTCTCTCAAGAGCAACTGATTAAAAAAAAAACTGACATAATCTGACATACTTTGATGGTGGATAGACAAGATTCTTCAACATATCCTGAAAAGTTTTTCATCATCCACAAGCATATCTCGACTAAATCTCCGAAACATCAGTGGCGGTGGAACCACCATCATTGGAGACTGGAGGGCCTCTGCGTAGTACCGGAATTCCCGCAACATCTATCCTGACCTTAGAGATGTCAGGACCAACCCAAAGATTGAATGAACCAAACCCCAAGAATTCCATCAGACTGTGTGATTGTTATCCAAAACGATGGATATTGCCTGCGAAACACAATGAAACACCATGAAAGATCGGTTTTCTTTTGCGATTCCCGGAATTCAATCCAGCATAATCGAGCCCAAGCTGGAGCAAGATCAAAGCTAGATTCATGAAATCCAAAAAAAAAAGATAATGTGGACTTGAGGCCCTTAAGGCATATATTAGATATGGATAAATACGGTAAAATCCGTCATCTTCCCATATGACACCGCTTCACCAACCTGTTCACCCATCTTCAGAGCTTGGCTCGCTCTTTGGCCTTGGATGTGACGTATCTTTGAGGCGTTGGGGATATGGACCCACAAATATCTGATTGGTTTTAGCATTGTTTGCAACTCATTTAGTATATCTAGCTATCATGTTAGCATTGTTATATGTAACCATCTGAAAATTGGAGGTCAAGTGGTCAATTCTAGCCTCATATCATCAGCTAAGATCCTTCAGGGAGATGTCGCAATGGGTTTTCAGGGGTTGTGACACTGGTAGGCTCAACAGCTTTGGTTGTCAATGGGACAGCACTCAAAACAGTGTTCGTGCAGTTTTGCATTCACAGTTTCTGGATTTACATCACTTAGATGTGTCCAAAGGTACTTTCCTGAAGAGTTTCTATGGCAGTTTTGTGGTTGTGAGCTTGCTGTAGTCGAAATCCCCTCAGCCAATGGTTTGCTGCACCCTTGCCTTCTGCAGGAACTCGGCCTTTTCCAAGCCTTGACAGCTGCATCTTGCGTGCAACCGTGCAACCTACTTAGAGGCTTGGAATCTGTTCCAATCCAATGTCCATGTGTGATTGGGGAAGTTCCCAACTTTCAGGAGCATCTACCATTCCGCACAGGAGCTGCAGCCAGAAACTTTGTATTCCGTGCTATGCCAAGAAAAGCCACCTATTCTCAATGCAAATTGATTTCATTATATAGAAACCTATTCTGAATTCTGGAAGATCCTGCTCCGCAACTCAGATTGGTCAAGTATTCCGCTCTTGGAGATGTTGGGGCAAGACAGGCCCTTGCTGAGACTTGCGCAACCGGTGGTGTCAACTCCATGGTCCTGAAAGCGGTGTCAATCTAGTGGATTTTCCCAGACCCATCGCCTTCATGGCAATTTGGCTTGGATTCCAACCTGCGTTCCCACAGCTGAACTTTGACCCACAGTAATGCAGGGCCCATATACCCACAAGGACAGCCAGGACAGCCCAAAAAAATGTCTCCCAACATTTTTCCCCAAATCATCATAAATCATCCCATTGACCCAGCTGGGTTTTTTTAATGTTTTAAGACACCTGGGAAGTGTCGGATCAACCTCAGCCGAAACGGGCAAAAACAAACTGGTCCGGCCTTCAAGAGCGCTTTCAGCTCTTTCATCTGGGCCGGAACATGGTGAAGCAAAAGGGATCTCGACTTACGAAGTCGGGTCTCATATGGGGACATGGTTTTAGCTCAAAATCACTGGTTAGCTTCATCATCTTTCCACATTCAATGGTCATAACTGGGGAGACTGCCCTCTAAGTCACCAACCGGCATCTGTTCCAGCTCCGCGACTGGAGGGAAAGGAGCCCCGGAATCGGAGGGCGCTTTCCGGGCTGGCAGCAGTGACGAAGTTTCCGATGGCATCCAAAAAAGTGGTACTGTGCCATGTACAAAACCCTACAAAATCCATGTAAAATATGTAAAGACCTTCCAACTTCGTTACAAGAAATGTTGACCACAAATCTGGCAAGGTCGCTGCCTCGAAAGTCGTCTGAGTTTCCCCCTGGGCCCTGGGACCTTCTTGTGGCACAACGAAACCACCACTGTTCCTGAGATGAGCAGATCTCACATGGATTTGTCCAAAAAATCAAAATTTCATGGATTTGAAAAATCGCGATAGTCCATTGGAATTGGGGGTGAATAGCAAAATGGTTGCAAACTCCATCTGAATGCTCTGATTCCCACATCAAGCGGAGTTCGCACATGGATAATGATTTACCCTGAGCAATGGCCAACCATTGGTTTTTTTTTGTGAGATATTGTGAGATAAACCTGCAACCCTAAACTCCCTTGGGTGTCGCAAAGTGTTGGCAGCTGGATTAGTGTCAAGCATCTCTTCCCATTTTGCTCGACGCTTTCGCGGCTCGGCCTCAGGCAAGGTGGATATGTACAAGATTCATGTGGTGAATTTGAAAACCTTAGAACGCAAAGAAGATTGGGACATGCAAATTTGAGAAACCACCTCTCTTTGCTTTCATGAAGCTAAAATGGATGCTTCAAACGTCTCCAAGACTCCTCTTCACCACTTGCAACTGCAATGCTACTCTGTGGGCATGGTGTTCAGACGTAGATTTGGGAAGCTCCGAGCTGCATTTTGAGCCATGGCTCTGCCCAAGGAGGGATTTTCATATTTTAATACAGTAATCCCTATGAAACCACTTCGCATAACCCAGTTGTTGACCATCAACAACCAGGGATTCCGGATGATTCGTGGCATTGCTCATGTCACCGTCTTCATGACTTGTAGGGAATGAACCGGCTTTTCCTCTGGCTCCGTCGGCGGCGCAGCGTCCTGCGCGAAGTGACAACGTAGTGACAACCAGCTTTACTTTTTCTTGCCACCGATATACTAACTTTACTACCATCCACCTTTTGTAGAAGGTCTTTGGACGTGTCACCTTGTCGAATGAATGGATGGCTGAATTGATGTTCAATTGCAAAATGCGAAAACAATCATACCATTACCATTACCACTACCGTTACCATTGCTATTGCAATTGCCATTGCCATTGCCACCACGATTACCATACCACTCAAAGTGATACCATCCCCACATTCTCCCACACCAACGGCAGGGTATCGGCTCCTTGGCACCTCAATATTTTGGCCCACCATGACCCGCGAATGGCTGGCTTTTCTTTTGACATTTATCATGTCATTTCACTGTCCCAAACGTCGCAAATGGAATGTGCCAAATTATATTTGGAGCATCTGGGAGCCATCTTGCACCAAATTGATTTCAAGTTCGAACAGAATGGAACTGCTAAAGACCTGCTTTTTGGCAGTTCAAGTCCTGTGAAACATCTTCGCTACTCGATTTTGGGCAGTTGCGCCGGCCAAGTTGCTGAGGTTCTCAGGCTTCAAGGCCAAAGTTTTCTTGGCTCCATCTGCCTGCAGTGCTACTCCCATCCATTTCCATCTCAAACAAATCTAAAATGGGAAGGTCCGGTCCAGATCAACAAAGATCAACATATTCAGAACATGGTGCCTTCTAGTAATACTGAATTGGCATTCCGAGAGCTCTCGAATCCAAATCTACACTTTAGTAGATGGGTTTTGTCTGAACATAGAGCACCCCAAAATGTTTTATCATGAGTCTACAAAAGGGCCATTTTTGGGAGTGTACCCAATTTTCAGTCACACCCAGATGATGGCTTGCTCACAATCTACAAACTCTGCAAAAGACCTTGGAACCTACTAAGTCAGAACCTCCCTAGACCAGAATTTTTACAGCACTTCCAAGGTGCTTGAGGAGTTGACATGAACGGGGAGGGGCAAACCTCCAATCCTGTCGTGTGCCCCACACCTCAAGTTCCACCTCCACTCGGTCGCTGCGGAAACCCACCACGCAGGCTGTGCTGCCGTTGAACTGCAAGCGGAACGCTGGCGACTTCAGATTGGGGCTTTGGGGTTTATTCTTGAACTAATCATGGGTCACCTTGGAAGGTGTCGTGGCTACTTAAAGCGGACCAATCTTGGTGGGTTGAATATGGTTCAATCTTTGGCATGCAGATTGAGTGGCAACCCTGAGCAACGCCTCGTTGATCCAAGGATATCTGGGACAGGGACAGGGGCTGGAGTTGGCATCTTCAGGCTTCCATGCAGCTATCCCTGACCCCAGCACCACCTGTGGGGCGCCCTTGAGGTTTGAAATCAGCACCACCTGACAGAAACGGTCGAAGCACTATCGGAAAAACCACCAGTCGGCAATAATTTTCCCAGTTCAAGGGGATGGAAAACTGGAGAAAGCTAAATACCACCAGCTATAACCATGTATCAATCATGATCCTTAGCAAGGCATCCATCCCTGTCACATTGAAAGCAGCAATGGTTCATTCTGCGCAGGGCCCCCAGCTTGTCCGAGTCGAAAGCCCAGAGACCTCAACATGTGGCGTGATCCCCATCAGACGTCATCGCATTGCCATTGGGGCCCTCCATCTGTGTGTCATCCCCATAGCCGCAGCCATCTGTCGGGTTCCAAGCTCTTCTGTGGGATTCTCTTTGAAGCTCCTGCCAGGTCCAGTGCTTCAGCATGGCTTCAGCATGGCAGGACAAGATCCCACGGGCCCCACGGGACCAAAAAGGGTCCAAAAAGGGTCCCACGGATCCCCACGTCAATGGTGTGACATTTGACCCGCAGGTCCTGGTTGCCGGAGCAGGCGGCTTCTCTTGCCGTTTATTGCACATACCTATGCTCTCAAGTGAGACATCCCAAAGTAGCTCGATGAGAAGTGCTTTGATGTTCGAGATTTTTGTGAGGACCAGAGTGGAAATTGGAACATCCGATGTTGGCGAAAGTACTCCGGGAAAATCCCACATGGCAGAATCATCTAGAGATGCGTTGATGTAAAACCTATAGGATTCGAATGCAAATCGGAGTATCCTCCTGCTTGGCCAAGCAACCCATCTCTGTCTTGGCCATGGTGCTCCAATCCACCCTGTCAAGTCGGTGTCAAGTGCAGATTCAGCCGCAAGCAGAGTTCACAACCAACATTTGATGACATCAACCACATGTCTTGACAAGACTTGCTCTGTGGAGTCATCACTGTCTCTCCACGACACCCACGACCGCAAGTATCATGCCGGCAAGGCGAGACTTGCGTGCCTTTTAATTCAAAGCGTCGCAAGTTATTGAAAGCTGCCTGGCTGCAGGCTGCCTAATCATCAAAACACTTGATTACTCACACATGTTGAGATAAAATCCTGCTACTGTGCCGTTCTGGAAGCAATCCTGTGGTTCTTTTCTGTGCTGGAAGGAGCATGTTTCAATCCCCCATCAGTCCATCAGAATCATCAAATAACCACGGTATAGGTGTATGAAACCCCATCAATGCATTCACCACCCATCCCAGGGACTGCCAACTGAGGCGCCTCTGCTCCCTCCTTTAGGGCCATCTCTACAAGGCAAACACCCTGAGATGCAGCGCGGATGAAGCAGTTTGGATCATTTTTTTGGATAGCCATCAAGATGGAAAAATGAACATGGCAGGGAGGGAATGGATGCATCCTGCAATCCCGTGCCCAAATCGGATGTTTTTTTTTCGGCATTAGCGACTCAAACACATCGCGGTGGCGGCAAATCCAAAGCAGCCGAGAACGCTCCGGGCCAGGCTAGAGAATCCAGCCTGCGGAGAAAGCACTTAACGTAAAACCACAACTGACCATGGAGAAAAAACAGTTTAAAGTAACACTCTGCGACGTTTCACGCGGTTTGTTGATGTATATTTATCTGTAAATACAAAAATTTAATTCTACATGTGTGTATGTATGTATGTATGTATATATGTATGTAAGCATGCATGCATGTATGTAATATGCATATATATATATATATATGCTCATCCCCCCACCAGGGCCTACCTTTTTTCCTATTACATTGACTGTTTCATTGCAAGGTCAACCATCTGCTATCTGTTATCTTCCAAAAAAACAATAAGCTTCGGTGGTATCCCCAACAGCCGCAACGTTTTATTTTTACAAATCTTTCTGAAGCGTGCTGCGAAGCCAAGCGCTGGAAACGCCTCAGGTGGGTTTCCGTGAGTGAAATGGCCGCCCTGCCCCCCCTTTCGGCATCAATATGACAATTTTCATGAAATATTGTTATAACAAAAACATGTGTGTGTGTGTGCGATATGTGCAACGCAAGTACAATTACAAAACCAAAGGTTACACAGCGCAACAATATTGGATACAGTCAAGCTCTCGATCGCGGAATGGTGTTTGTTGTTGCATCCATAAAATATGAAGAATACACAGAACATCTTCCTTTGAGAATTGAGTCCAACGGTCGTCGTGCGGAAAAACAATATGAAGCTCTGAAGGTCTGCGCACGCATTCACCGAAGAGAAGCAAAATAGAAATCACATGTCGGCATTTCTGTTTCTTATTGTCCTGCACAAATAGCATTGACTTCAAGAGTTTGTGTTCATCATTTGCACTCTCATGGTGGGACAATCAACAAAAAAAGCAAGATAGAAGCCACGAACCAGAATGCAAGTCGTGTTTAGATTTAAAGTAAAGAACCGTGACGCAAAGCCATCACGTCACTTCTTTTTGCCTCTCATGGGTCAGAAGTGATAACATCCTTTGTTGAGTAATAGGCTATCAAGTCGATGACTCAGAATAAACAAGAGAGTCCTGAAAGGAACCCACACCCGCCCACAGCCCAGCATCGCTTCCCGACACAGTGGGTTCCAACATCAGGCTCCAAAAGTAACGGGACCAAACCATGGATTCATCGACCTGGGCATGGAAACTCTGCAGGTAGGCAGAAACACAGCGCAGAGACACCACAGCAAAGATACGCCCAAAACGGCATGCCTTGCAGCACTGTACAGAGGCACAGCGTAGAAACACCACAGCAAAGGGACGTCTAAAACGACTGGTCTTGCTGCACTTTCCAGAGGCACAGCGCATCGACACCACAGCGAAGGGACGTCTAAAACAACACGTCTTGCGGCACTTTACAGAGGCACAGCGCATCGACACCACAGCAAAGGGACGTCTATAAAACGACACGTCTTGCATCGACCACGTCCCACAACCTTCCGCAGGGTTTTTTCCCTCCAAGAAAAGCCTTTTGACGCCTTTGGTTCAACATATTTCAAAAACACGCGTGAATATGAATAAAAGCCATTGGCCCCGCCTCGTGTCCACGGCTTGGAAGTGCTCCTCCATGCCCATCGCGGCAATGCCAATTTCGGTGGCTTTGACGAGGTCGATAAGCAGGTCGATAAGCATGGGGTCAAAGGAGATCATGTCGAGGTCCCCATCAGAGTCACCTGATGCAGAGAAGCCCGTCATCAACTGGCAACACAAATTTGCTTGCAAACGTTGCTGGCTTGCCATTAAAGATGCATGGCTAAGATGTCTATCAAGGGTCTGATAAACCCGCTGCACAATATAATTTAAGGAGGTGAGCCCCTAATACGGAAAGGAAAGCTAAGGCGCCTATTGCTGACGCGCGCGTGGTGAATACCTGGAATAAGTCTGCGTCGCCCAGGTGGTGAATACCTCTATTGAAGTGCTGCCTGGGGTGGTGAATACCTCTTGGTTGTTATAATAGTTCTTGGTGTTTTGTTTCTGAGGTGGTGGAGACCTTGGTTAGCCCGGGCGTAGTTCGCATGTGATTAGAAGCGGGGCGCGTGCGTGACCAGGTTCATGTATCGATCTGAAGCTCCAACCCCGCGAGCATGTGCATCAATGTGGACGCTATGAGTTGTTTGAAACCTAGGTAAACGATCTGACTGCCGCGTTATTTTGGGTGCCTTCTGCTTCCCTATTTTCATCAAATGAAACGATGAATTTCATTGCGCGGGGTTTTGCAACCTGGGCCCTCACTTCATCATGGAGCTCAGACGGTGAAGATGCAATGGCGTGCATTGTGGATCAGGATTGAAGAGGCGAACCAGTCCGTTATGATCTGTTTGATCTTCGGCTCCCTAAACCCGCGCCTCCAGCCATCCGCGAATTGGCAAGCCCCTCCGCCGAGACAACGAGGCAGTTGTCTGGAATGGGGTAGCCAGGTGGGGGGGCGATGGCCTTCCAAACACACATGTCCCATGGACAATGTGCGTCCCATGGACACTGTGCTGGACAGCGCCACACCGCCCCTTCGCCAACCAGGCACCGCCCATTCGAAAAGACCTGAGGTATAACTCATCTAAGTCCGACACGTTCGAACTCCGCCATCTTTTTCCGGGTGTGTGAGGGTCACAAGACTAGATGGGAAAAATTCACGGCCAAGAAACAAAGCAATGACCGTCCGGCAAGCTGCCCGTCAGGTCAGGGGCGGCAGTTAGCGTGCAGGTTTCCTTCTGCAGCTGAAGCTCAGGCTTGGCCTTCTTCGACTTGTAGGCTGCCGAAGCCTGCACGCTGCCCCGGCGCAGAGACTCCTTCGTCATCCGGCAGAGCCCGGTTGCCGTCCTTCTCTTCCAGGCTTGTCTCCAGCATGGCCATGTCGCTGGCTGGAGCACTTTACAGAGGCACAGCGCATCGACACCACAGCGAAGGGACGTCTAAAACAACACGTCTTGCGGCACTTTACAGAGGCACAGCGCAGAGACACCACAGCGAAGGGACGTCTAAAACAACACGTCTTGCTGCACTTTACAGAGGCACAGCGCATCGACACCACAGCGAAGGGACGTCTAAAACAACACGTCTTGCTGCACTGTACAGAGGCACAGCGCATCGACACCACAGCAAAGGGACGTCTAAAACCACACGTCTTGCGGCACTTTACAGAGTCGCAACGCAGACACACCACAGCAAAGGGACGTTTAAAACGACACGTCTTGCAGCACTTTACAGAGGCACAGCGCAGACACACCACAGCAAAGGGACATGTAGAGCAACACTTTTTGTGGCACTTTACACAGGCACAGTGCAGAGACACTGCAGCAAAGGAACGTCAAAACGGAGAGCAAGGCGCATCGACATCGCAGCAAAGGGACATCCAAAACAACACGTCTTGCAGCACTTTCAAGAGGCACGGAATTTTCGACCCGGTCGGGACGTAATCTGGACGTAATCACGCCCTGACGACGATGCGACGACGACGACGAGGCGACGACGACACGACGACCAGCTACGCACGCGACGCGAACAAAGGTCCAGCTCCCAGCTGTTGAAATATGTAACAATCCATTCAATGACACCATTTCTTTGGAAATATGTAACGCTCCTTTCAAAGAACTCCAGCTGCACTCTACTGGGACAGGAACACCATTTATTTGAAGGAAAGGTTTCCCTCACCAAAAACATAATTCTATATCCCCAAAGGCTTCACACCTGAAAAGGAGAATTGCACTTGAGAGGGGGGGGACGAAAGGTAGGGGGGGGGCAAAAGATACTACTACTACGACGACTACTACGACGACGACTACTACTACTACTACTAGTTCAATATATCGCTCAGAGCCAGCACGTTGCAACGGTGTGCCTCCGGTGCGAAGCTGGGTGTACCATCCCATTGGGGTATGATTATTTACTAGCAACAATGGGGATACGAGGAGGAACGCAGGAACGCTTTGGGTGTTCAATCACCACAGGTTTTTGCTTTCATTTCCTTTCATATGTGTTCAAGGGGGTGTCCAACATATTCAGATCCCTATTTGTCCAACATCTTTTTGGGTAGGATGAGTTGCAACGAAGAACCGAATCACAGACTCACATCACGTTTCTCCATAGAAGAACCACACTGGTGTGTGTAACAAAATAGCTACATAATGTGACCCAAATGATATTGTAGGCTAAGCATTGTAACCGGGTTGCCAGTTATCGATCGGATTTCTGGTAAGGCATCGCGAGTAGTGTTCTGTTCCCCAGAACAGGTGGACCCGTTGGAGGGGCCTCCAGGGGGTCAACCGAGCTGGTTGTTGACCTTGTGGAGGCTCCCCCACCAGGTCCACATAAAGTATCGTTTTTGTTCCTTTACAATTGCGTTCGGAACTGGGCCCGACATAGTTGCAAAATTAGTTCGACATAGGCTGAATATGAGTCGAAAATCAGTTTGAAAATGACCTCAACAACACCTTGCCCTTGTTGAGGTGTATCTCGGGTGCTAAAGGTAGTCAAACACCAGAAATCCAAGGTCTTACATAGGTCTTATATCGGTTCCACATAGGGTCAATGTCACCGATGATTCTGACTGCTCTGAAAAAGCATGTTAGCCCAGGAATTCGTGCGCTGTGCAGCTGTCTTGCAGACTGGTGAAGGAGTGCGGCGTTTGGTGTGTCAAAGTATTTGAAAGAGGGGGGTTCGAGGGAATGCATGAGGACAAAGTAAGTAAAAAGGGACAGCTTGCATGTGGACCTATTTGTTTTCGTTGAAGTCACGAAGTTCGAATAGCGATATGGTGTTGTTGCGGGAACACTAAGGTCCTAGGCATCACGGCGTTGGAGTTGAACTCTTTGCTAGGCTCGAGGAAGGAAAACGCAGTAGTGATGGCGACTATCGTTGTTGCTCTCACTAGCCCTGCAACACGTGTGTCGGCATTCCCAATGGTTTCGGCGTTGCTGCAAGCTGACACATCCTGCATTCGCAAAGTGGTGCCCATTGGAGGTGGCTGGAAGTTACACGTGTCCTGGCCGAATGTATTTAAGAGAGTCATGTCTCTAGATTGGTCGGACATGCAGTTGGCGCTTGGTCATCTCAGGTGATTACACATGATGGCATCGGAGAGCAGAAGATCGGACAGCTGGTCGCAAAATTGGAGCCAATTGGTGTCACTTCGCTTCTGTCCCGCTGGAGTTTTGCTACACTACACTAATCACACGACATTCCATTAGTCTCCACGAAAGCTTCCAGCATATTTGCCAGCGGACAGCTATGCGTAGCAATTGTGCGAATGGCGCAGAGTTTGGCTGTCTGTACAGCATTGCCAAGTTCCTGCTTTTTTCATTCGCGAGCGCTGTGTTTGAACCTGAAGTCGTCATTTAAGCATTTGAAAGTCGTTGTGCAGGGATGTACTGTGGTTCTCTGCGCGCGTAGGGCTGGGCAGCTTCCGCGGACGAAGCCAATGGTACGCAGAGCTGGAGAGCCCAAGAGCAGAAAAAAGGCTTGTGGTACATGGGCATATTTCAGCGAATGTGGAGCTGTTAGAAAGTGTGTGAGGGAAGTTTGATACAGTTTGCGTCTGTCTGGAGGATTTGGACGAATGTGGCTGTTGACTGCTTTGCGCTCACGATTGGAAGGCGACGTCGTGCGCTGGGGTGCGTTTATGTCAACAGAAATTTCTCCCGCAGTCTCAGTCTCTCAGTCTCTCAGTCTCTCAGTCTCTCAGTCTCTCAGTCTCTCAGTCTCTCTCTCTCTCTCTGTATATATTTCTTTAAATAAATAAATAAATAAATAAATAATATATATATATACATACATTTAAGAATGGGGTATGCTAGCAGCAAGCCTATTGATTTCGAGCAAGACCCTCAAAGTTGTTGATTTACAATAGGCATGGAGATTTACCAGCAACAATGGGGATACGAGGAGGAATGCAGGAACGCTTTGGGTGTTCAATCACCACAGGTTTTTGCTTTCATTTCCTTTCAAATGTGTTCAAGGGGGTGTCCAACATATTCAGATCCCTATTTGTCCAACATCTTTTTGGGTAGGATGAGTTGCAACGAAGAACCGAATCACAGACTCACATCACGTTTCTCCATAGAAGAACCACACTGGTGTGTGTAACAAAATAGCTACATAATGTGACATAAATGATATAGTTACATGTTGGTACAGCGATAGATAAATAGATAGATCGATAGCTAAATAGATCGATAAACAGATAGATAGATAGATAGATAGATAGATAGATCGATCGATCGATAGATAGATAGATAGAAGGATAGATAGATAAATAGATAGATAGATAGACAACTAGATAACTAGATAGATAGATACATAGATAGATACCATAGATAGATAGATGGATAAGGAAGTAAGTACATAGTCAGAGAAAAAGAAAGAAAGAGATGCGGACCAGGGGGGAATCGAATGGGGGGGGGGCCCCCCCCCTAAGTCTCAATTTCCGGGAAAGGAGCAGCCACCTCCCCCAGTACTAAACTAGTACTAAAGTACATAGAACTCAGGTAGCCTAGACTACCTTTCGTGACATCCCCAAGGAATACTGCGCATGTTTAGCATACAATATTTTTTTAATAATGACTTGACAAGAATGCCTTGGAGGCAAGATGAATCAGATTTGGTTTGGATTAATCTGGATTAATCTGAATTAATCCTAAGGAACCAAACACCCAAAGAAATGGTAGTAGAAAAAGCGCACAAAAAGCTGGACAATAAAATCATTGGTTTTTTATGCAAATACCACGTAGTGGGGGGGTGACCATATATATATATATACACATACATATAAATATATATATACATATCTGCATATCTACATATATATATTATACATATTTACACACATGAAACAAACGCTTGCGAGAACCAGATCCTGCGTCCTTTCTTCAAATCGCGCCAAAATTCAAGGTGTGGTTCTAAGGGAAGTAGATGAAAAAGCTTCGTTTAATCCAGCCACATCCATGGGAAATGGCCATGGCACTAATAGGTAAATCACCCATACATGGGTAATTTTCGCTGTATTTCAAAATTATGAGATGATATATACTCTGAAGATTCTGGCTTAATACTCTGAATATGGCTTATAGTCAACGTATAATCAACTCATAATCACCTGATAATCCCCATGTTCATCACTATAGTCACTAGAATTTATCACTATAACATACTATCAGTACTATCACCATAACTGACTACCCAATTCTTGTAGCTCAACAGCCTTGCTGGCGGCCAGCGTCGAGGTGCCACCTGCGGCCAGCGCAGCCGCGGCGGCCAGGGCCAGCTGGCTCACTGGCCACCCAGCGGGCGCCTCCCGACGGAAGTCCTGGACGGAGGCCCTGAGGTCCTCCAAAGTGCCTGGAGGTCGGCCCCTGGATTGAACAAAACAAGGGAAATATAGATGATTAGTGATGATTAGTGATGATTAGTGATGATTAGTGATGATTAGTGATGATTAATGATGATAGATGTAGATTCCCAGGGGAAAATTCATGGGATATGGGATATGAATGACCCACAAGGATCTTACCAACCAAAATCGATGATATAAAATGTGAATTTCACAAACAAAATATGGGAAGATCGGAAGAAATTTGATAAGATATGACCAACAACATGGTGTGGCAATGCCATGGCCATAACTAGCTATGGATAAAAATATGAAGGAAAATGATGATAAATCACGGGATGGAACGAGGAAGCATGGGAAAATGACCAGTAGATGCATGTGGTGTTCTTGGCCTCTACGCTTTGGAAGGACTTTAGGCGCTGTTGTGGGACCACTACATTCAATGACCGTTGAGTGCCTCAGAAGTATGTATTTTGCAGCGAAAGCCAAAAAGTCGTGGCCAGATGTTTAACCGTTTAACCAAAGTTCGGTGGGATTGATGAGCATTTCTGCCCAGAAGCCATTGTTCTCAATCACAAAGTCTGCCCGTTTCCGTTGCTCTTCCCCAGAAAGCTGCGCTGCAATCTTCCTTTCCGCCTCACACAAATCAGGGACACAGAGCTGGGCACTGATCCACACTGGCCCCCTGTGTGGATGAATCTTGAAAAGTATAGAGGTGCTGGTGAGTTTGTCTTTGCCGTTCAGCCAAGCTTTCTGCACGATGTTCAACCGGCATTTCTGAGATAGTCAGCGCCTTTCAAACGGGTTCCTGATCTACATATCCACAACATTGCAACAAGGTCACCACATGTCACCACCAACTGTGCAGGGAGGGAAACTGTTCCAGTGACCTGGGTATGGCTCAGACATTACTTTTCTCTTTTGAGAAGCAGCCGTCCATTTTTGGATCATTTTGGGTGATCCCGCCTCCTCTTTAGTCAGATTGTTGCGCTCCATCAGCCGTTTCAGCTGAACTTCAGGCAGCCTAAAAAGGGTCAATCTATTCGTATCCAGGTTCTGAGGGACCAAGGTCAATTGAAAAGTGGATAGGACGTATGTTGCCACATTTGGAGGGGATGAACATCCATTTACCAGCTATTTTGATGCAGGGTACCAGGGTTGTGACCATGGCCACAGGCAAACACAAGCACCTTGACCTTTTAGACAAAGATGTTTGGTTCAGACCCTGGTGCATCAAGATTTGGGGCTTGGTTAGGGAGCAACTAGGCATCACAATGAACGACCGCATGAACAAAAAGCACCGAATCAGTTTCAAGCTGTTGGGATTGCAAACGACTGGCAGGAAACTACGGTCAGACTTTCCATGCTGGTTACATGTAAGGCTGTCAAGATTCTACACAGAGATGCTGCTACAGAAATAATAGCAAAATTAGGTGTGCTGAATGTATCACCCATCACCCATCTTGGAGATTTTGGGTCAAGGTGCTTGTGCACTTTGTTTCTGCCAGGTTCTGCAGTTCTGATCAGCTCTCTCAACTGGGCTTCCCACACGACAATCACCAGCACAGAAGACAGGCACAAGCGTCTTAGCACAGGAAATTTCAGAAGGAGCGGCACATCCAACACGATGGTACGATGGCCCTGTAAGACCAAGGTCAAGGTCCGTCGCAAGATGGCCAGCAAAATGCTGCTGTGCGTCGCCTTCGGGGGGCCACGCACTGGAACGCTGGAGGAACCTGGCATATGAGTTGTATGAGTCACCCAGCTTTGAATTAGTACACTATCTTCCAGATAAAGGGTGAAGAACGGTGGTTTCCAAAAATCACTTCAATATCCCAACCATCCCAAGGATGGAGAAGTGAATCCATATGGCCATATGGGGTTGAGGAGAAAACTGGACTGGCCAGCCTTGTCCAACTTGCGACGTTTCGCGGGATCTGTGAATACAATCTTTCCCAACTTGTCTCGATCGATGATACCCTCTGCATTCAGAACATCCCGGCCAAACTCGGAGACAATGCGTTGGTGCACAGGACCTGCTGAATCACTGGCCGATGGTTGAGCCCTTCCCAAAGCCGTGACTTTGGAAACATCATCCTAAGTAAAATATTCAAATAACAAAAATCTAAAACCACCAAACAGTTCGGGGATTAGGCCCGTGAGGTCAAAGCAATGACACCCCCAGGCCTGTGGGATCCGCCAGAATCTGATGTGCGATTTGGTCCGCATCCACCACTGGCCAGCCTGGTAACTCCAGCAAAAAACAATGAGCTCGAGAGAGAATTGACTGAATTGACATGAATTGACCCTGTCAAGGTTTTTTCAGAGTGAAGCCCTGGTAATGAAGTGAACGAAGTGAACGAAGTGACCGGAGCCTCACCTGACTCTGCCAGGAGTTGACTGACAGAGGACTTTCCACAAGCGATCGGCCCAGTGAGACCCAACAGTCGCACCATGGGGAGGTCCAGGCTGTGGCGGCTGTCCTTTCAATGGCGGGGGAGGGGTAAAAGTGTGGAGAAAGTGTGAAAAAAGTATGGCAACATACAGAAATGACTTGCTTGCTGCGTTCACCTTGGCTGACCCGACTTGCTTCATGTTGTGGTAGTTTTATGATGTTTTATGAGCTATGCTGCATGCTGTTTTTGGAAAAAATGGAAATAGGATATGGTTCGGGAGCCAGGCTTGGCTTCTTGGGGGAAATGTATCAAGCTGATCTAGTGTCTTGAGCCACCGTCAAAGGAGCAATATTAGGAGTTGCAAGTTGCGCCTCAACAATGTCCAAGGCCCCTCACAAAAGACTTGCACTCCAGTTGTCAAAACTTGGAATGTGCTGAACCACCCAGAAAACTAGTTCTGCAAAGCACAAGTTGGGATCCAGACTGGGGGATTCGTCATCTTCACATGCCTGACTCTTCCATGCCTCACCCAGAACTGTCAATGACTCAAGTCACGTGAGCGTCACCACGGGGAATGCTCTGAGTACTGAGATGGGCACCCCGAAAATTTGGAACCCAATCCTGACAACTTGCATTGAGGTCTTCACGGAGTCAAGGCTTGCGAGACATCTGTCTCCTTGATTCCTGGTACCACCGTTGACGTGTTGAAATGGAGTCCCAAACTTGGATGCGCAATGGTTTTCGGGGTCAAAAATAGGCAGGTGATTATCAAACCTGCCAAGCTATCACTAGAGTTGGTAACTATTTTGCCTTGGGGTAAAACACCCCTTTGGTGCACCAAAGATCTGGATGAAGGTTGTGGATGGCAGGGAAACCTTTTGGTTTCTTGGAGGAACCCAATCTGGTGGACCCCCCGCCTAAGCCAATGGGAGCAATCACCAACTCCCATCCTCAGGTGAACATCATCGGCGGATCAGCAGATATGGCCTCCCTGAAAATGCCCTCTGTCTTTATAGTCCCCATGCCAAGAAAATCCGCTGGTAGTTTACCTCCGATTTACTCTAGAATACAGAGGTTTGGATTCTCTTAGGGTTCCTGCAATGGGAAAACTGTTCGAGGATACAGCACATGTGTCAATCAAAAAATCCTTTGCAGGGCAAGTCCCAGATTTTCTCCACAATGTCTTTGACAATAAATACAGCAGTAGCAGGCAACAGCAAAAGGGCAAAAAAGAAACTCCAAATCCAAAAGAACAAGTTTCGACCTAAAAACACATGTGGTTCTCGTCAGCACCTACTGTATATTCTTCTTGGTTTTGGAGGTTCCTGCAGTGTATTTTTCCCGGCACCAAGATCCTGACCACAGGATGGCTTGGGCTGAAGATTGGACTCTAACAGTGACAGCCTGGGCATGGATGGCATGGATGGCAGGCCCCAAGCCAGACTCCATTGTAGTTGTGCATGCATCTTCTGTGACAGCATCCGCTCCAGAATTTTGCACGTTGGGCGAAAAAGTAAGTCTAAGCTCCAGAATTAAGAGCTTTTTGAGATGATGCAACCAGGCAATATAAATATACTAGGCGCACATCCATTAAAAGTCCATTCCACGATGCATCAGCTTCCTGGGAAGACTGATTGCGGCGAATGCAAGACATCTGCATGATCTGTTAGCTACTGCTAGTTGGCGAAGTTGTGCCGCCATGCCCTTCCTCTGAGTCTGGGGGCAATAGGGAACTTACAAATGAACGGCAGCTTGCAATTCAAAGGAAGGGCACTTCCATCAGAATCAATGGCACCAGCACTGCACTGCTCGGTCTTGGCATTGCTTGGCCCCTTAGGGCTAGTGTTCAAAGACTGAGATTTGTTTGCATTGGATGCAGAGTTACAGACGGAAGATAACTCTTGAATGGACGCATTTTCTGGAATATGTTCAACTGTCATGAAGCGTAGTCCATTCCAAACTGCCAGATGTGCCATCTGTACCGGTGTATCACTTCAAAAGAGAGAAACGTATAAACTCAGCGTCCAGAAAGGTAGGGAATGGTTCAAAGTGAACTGCCAGAGGCAGGAAACTGGCATCATGGATTCCTTCAACCCAATGAGAAAATACAAATCCAAAGGATCCAAAGGGTCATTGAGGATAAGCCTGAGTAGCCTGCCAACGACGTCATTCGTGCATTGCTTTCTGCCACTTCTTCGTTTGCGGCTACCGCTAAAGTTGAGACATGCAGCTCTAGTTGGAGAAGCAGAAAACATGGCTCGAACCATGTTCAAAATTCAAAATCTTCGGTCGACTTGGAATCTGACACCGGCCCTACAGAGTGTTTGGGTTGCTGTTGGCTCACAAGCTGTCAGATTTTTGCAGTTGAAGCACCACATCACGCAGCGTCTCGTACTCCTGGCACATCTGCAGCACGTGCCAACTGGATGGTGGACTTTTCTGCAGCCAAGATCTCTTGCTTTTTGGCACTTCGCTGTTGACCCTGGCTATATCCAATGATCAACAAAAAGATAGGACAATGGTTCCCTTTAACTATGTGTGTAACCGTTCTTAAGATACAATTAGCCATTACTATCATAACTAACTACCTCTAGCGGACGGTCCAACCTCGATGTGATTGTAAATGTGGGCAGATATGCCTTGGCAGCGTATCTGATGACAACTGTTTTTGGTTTCATCCCACCTTCCGAGGGAAATGCGCCTGATCGTGATTTGTCCGAAAGTACTGTTTCCGAAATAAAAGATCAACTGGAACTGAACCCGTTGAGCCCCAAATTTTCGACATCCGTACCACATCTGCTTCCCCAAATCCGCACCGGTCCAATCCAAATCCAAGCTGCGAACATAGAGCTTTCCAGACAGGGCCTTCACAGGAACCTCGATCTTCTCGGCATAGAGGGCATTCTGCACCATTTCAGCTGCCTCATAGTTCAACCTCATAGCACCATGTTTATGTCTATCCATGTTCGATAACGACAGGCTGAAGTCCCAAGAATCGGAAAGATGAATTACTTGGCCATGGGTCAGTTCACCCTGACCCATAGCAAACATCAAGATAGCGGATCAATGGATCTTCATCCATAATTTTGACACAAAGTGCTTTTTTTGAGGTTTTGACTCATCCCCAATTGGCCAACGTGGCAACTCCCTGTGAGTTTTTGGCCAAGCGACTCGCCCTTGAGGGCTGCAAACTCGGGCAGCTGCACCAATGCCATGGTACTCAACAGCTCCTCCTGTCGCTGTGAACGGCACCAATCTGAGTGGCATGGTTGAACCACCAATGTCAATAACCAAGAGGTAGATTTTAAAACATAAGCAAAATCAGTGTAATATGGTTTCCAACAGGTAAATTATTATTATATGGTTTTCCCATGTTTTCCCCAAAAGGTAAATGATTGTTATATGGTTTTCCTGCAAGGATAACATTGGAACCACCATCATGCCTGCTATCCTAAACCGTTTTCACCACACGCTAGCACTCCGCGCTCCGGAATTCCCAGCTCAGTGCCCCAACCATCTGCCAAAAGCACCGCCTTAGCTTCCACCATTCAACAAGTCATAGTCCTTTGCCAAAGGAACATGCCACCAGAATTGCCAATTCTGTTTCCTAAGGCTGTAAGCTCTGAGCAGAAAAAACAAGAGTTTTCCACTTTGCAATGGAATAGTCTCAAAGAATGTCAGATTCTTGGCGGTTCTTGTCATGTTTGGGTATGAGTCAAAGTTGGAGTGCCAATAGACCCGTAAATGGGTCATGTTTAATTAACATAAAACCATCCATTTTGGATGGCTGATAATTTTGACCCATACTAATTGAGCCCGTGGTGGAAATATCTATTGCTGTCAGCTCCACACAACGTCGACGAGTTGCTGCATCTCTGACCACGTAGTTACAATAGGTCCTTGCTGGCTCAATGCCGACCTCAGAGCAATGCACTGAAGAATCCACTTCATCTTCTGAAACTTCTTGTTTGATCAGAGTCTTCCATTCTATGAAACGCCCTCACGCCCGCACATACTCATCTTTTCTAACTGGTTGCTGGTGTATAATGTTTATATAATGTTTTTTATATGTTGTTTATATATGTTGCATATAAATATGTGTGTGTGTCTTTTTCTTCTTCTTCTTCTTCTTCTTCTTCTTCTTCTTCTGCTTCTTCTTCTTCTTGCCATAGGTATGGCTCGTGAAAACTTATGTGAAACTAACTTAGAATAGCAGGTGCCATACCCGTAGGCTCCCCGCAGCACCGTTGGCCCCTCAGTACAGGAACTCTTTAGCAGAACTGTAGATCAGTTCGACTTAGTTGCGATGTCCAGGATGCAACCTGGTAAGAAACGTTGCTAAATTTCTTTGTTTATAGTTGCTTGCAGTATTTGAGCAAGTTGTACGTTGGAGTTGTTGAAATCGCATTACATATATATATATATGTTTTACATAAGTTTATATAAGTGTTATATCTGTTTATATCAATTTACATCACATTTCCCCGGTGAAAGCCCCTGGCCCTGGGGATCCTGATCCTGGGGTTTCCCACCAAGTCCCAGAAAGCCATGGCTTCATCCAGCGCAAGGAAGGAACTCCAATCTGCCAGGCCAGGCCAATAAAATCCGCTGGGTAAGTCGGACCTCCCCAGGCTGCGCGACTTGGGATGTTTGAAGATCTTGCTCTTTAAAAAGCTGGGATAAAACTGGGAAGCTTCCTGGCATGTGGACTTCGTGCAAGCCAAGAGAGACTATATAGGTAGAGGAAGCCATGTTTGGATGAGATGATCGAGAGGGGCTCACTGCGGGCGCAAGAATCAAAAAACATGAATGTTGTACAATCCAAGGCACCTGGCTGATAGCCAAAAGAGCTTGTGAAACTGGGATTAAGGGACTTTCAAAGGTGAGTCAATAGGCCAAAAGCAAAAAGTGCTGTGGTCAACAAGACTCCAGCTCCACATGTCCGAACCAAAATTTGTTGTTTAAAGGTTTATGAAACGCCAAAATGTCACCTAAGGCCCGTTCGTTTCAGGTTTGGTTCTCATTTTTATTGAGGAAACCAACGGGTTTTTAGAGTCCACTTATGCCGAGCAGCCCATAGCCGTGTGAGATCACCAGGGGCTCGAGCCACTCCTGTGCCTACAGGAAATACCCCTGAAAGAACTTCAAAATATGTGGTGCATGTGGCTGTATTGCCTATGCCTAGCTTCATTTACTCGTACATATACATATATATATATACATACATACATATGTAAATATATTAATATTTCTATAGATACAGTGAGTCAGTATATCGGTGTGTATCATGGTAAGTGCTTAGTGCCCCCCCAAATGCGCCCCCCCCAGAAAATCAGAAGACAAAAGGGATGCAACAAGCAGTGAAGGTTAATAAGCCCTTATTACCAGGTTATTAACCAGCTATCGACAGCTTATTAAACAGAGATTTTGCCATTTAGAACTGCGCATTTTATCGGTTTCCCTTTGAAATCAGTAGCAGATGCCTATTAAGGATCTCAGGTGGTCAATGAGTTTGTGGTGCTGTAAAAATAATGCCACTTTCCAGGGGGGGCTTGAAACCACTAATAGATGGTTATTAAAGATTTTAGGTGGGAAATTATTTTTGGTGGCGGCCCCAATACCTCCACTTCCCACGAGCTGCTTGAACCCACTAATAGATGGTTATTAAGGTTTTGAGATGGGCAACGTAAAAATTTTGAAGGGTTGAAAAAAATCAGCTTCCAGCAAATGATAAAATTGTGGCAAGGCCATGGGACCCGTCCGAACACACTTCCAAAAGCAACCAACGGTTGTGGTGACAACTACCCCTTATGTAAAAACAATGTTTTTGGGTGCGCAAGGGACACCCACTCACTGCTCATGAGTGAGGAGAAATACTGGTGACATTCTTGTCTTTCCAAGCTGTCTGGAAACATGATGAGATTTTGATATGCTGAATGCAGATTGCCTAGAAACTTGGCAGGATTTGAGCCCGTGACCATCTGCTTCCAACACCGCTTCAAAATGCCCCGGGAGCTTTGGGGGGGAGGTGGGGGCGGGTTTCGAGTGAAAAATCACTGTGTTGGACTCTGACCTGCCCCTCCCCGTGCTGAAGGAAGAGTAACTCCAGCTAGCTACCTGGTGATAATGCTGTGTATGTATGTTGTATAGAGGGTGAGAGAGATAGAGTATCTTTTACAGAGGGGTTTGGTTCAGCGTAAAACTGACTCCGATTGGCAAAGACTCCTATCCCAATGGCCACCGGGCTCCTCCTCTCCAACATGGAGCAAGGCTGTGCCCTTGGCACCACAAAACCACTTGTGGCCTGGGCAATGTGAGCGACGACAATCTGTAAACTATCAGGTAAACGGTAAACAGCACATCCTATGAGTTATCGTAAATTGAATCGGCATAGATGGTAAGTTGTGAAATTGGTTTGACCCTGTTTATCCAAACAAAGCACCCGCCAAATGATTAGGTTTGGAGTGGTTCCAAGCCCCAGGTTCAGCATCCCAGGTGCAGTTGGTCACCACCGCATCCACCGGGTAGTCACGTCGAGGCCCTGTCAACTTCAAGGGCAGGCCTGGGTGACCCCCCAGCTGGGCAAAGTGGATGATTTCTCTGGATGATTTCTCTGGATATTTTCTGGATGTTGCGATAGCTGTGATCATCATCCCTATGTTTCAACTGCAGATGTTGCTCCCCCAGCTCTGCAGCCAACTCACTGAAGAAGCCATGGGCGGCGTCCAGCAGCACAAAGGCATCGGGAGCCTTTGCCCGGCAGAGGGCCACAGCCTCCGGAGGCAAGACCTCAGTCAGCGGTTCCACCGCTGCACAGAAGTTGGAAACATGATGGTTAAACCAGCAAATATGGGCTTTGACTTTAACCATCCAAAATGCGGACATAAATCGGCCCAAGATTCAGGGTTCTTACTTAAACATGAAGAATAGGGGCATAAAGATCATAAAACAAATAAACAAAAACAGATAGGAATAAAATAAGTGCTCATGTCACCGAAAGACAAAGGGCGCATTCGATGGAATCAGGTCAAGAACCACTAAGGTCGTGTTTGGCTTCAGGATGGAATCCAGCGCAGACAGGATTTGCTCCTGACGCCACATTTGCTCAAAGCTCTGTCCTCTCTTGCTGCTCGGACACTTCCAAACAGTTGAACATGCTTTACCCTCTGGTAAACTAACATAGCTATTGAAAATCACCATTTTTAATGGGAAAATCCACTATAAATGGCCATTTTCAATAGCTATGTTAAATTACCAGAGGGTAGATTGCTGTAGGTGTCACATGGTGTCACAATTCAGTCCAAGTCGGGAATGCCCAGATCTTCACCCATTCGACAGTGAGACATTCATACTTACAGAGTATTTCTAATCATCTTCTTGCCATTTCTGATTGGGTCATCATAGCGTTACCCCTGAGCAACGTATCTTCAACGTATCTTCATCTTGCCTCATCTTCCAGAGGGAATTCCACTGCAGCCTCGTCCACCTGTGGCACCGGTTGCAGTCAATCTGCGTCACCAAAATCTGTGCGAAGTTCATCCAACTTCATGGGCCCCGTCATATAGGCCCAAACCAGGCCACCGACAGGTACCAAGATATTCATGTACATATGCACATTTATATCATATAAATATATAATCATAACCACCTGCAAGGTCTGTGCACTTTCTGTGGTTTGGAAAAGATGCTTTGGTGATAACAACCACGGCCTGGAAGCCAGATTCCTCAGCCAGCTTCCGAAGCAGCTTCTTTGTGGAACCATATGTGACCGACAGGATGGCAGCACCTCAAGTGATTTTCCAGCGGGAGCCAATCATCTGGGCTTCTCATTGCATCATGCCTTGCAGCTGATTTTTTCACGTCCAAAGTTCCAAGTCAGCCATCTAAACCTGTCTAAAACGGAGTAAATACAATTCCAAATCCCAAACCAACACGTTTTGAAAAGGCTCTCCCTGTCCTTCCGGGCGTCAAGATACGCTGCTGCCCATCGGGTCTTCTCTGTCGCTGCCAGGATCGTAGCAAGGCATTGCTGCCCACTGTGACGCTGGGCAGCGGCAGCAATTGCTCCGCTGGCGTCTTCAACAACTGAGCTCAGCAGCTGTCGGCGAGTTGCGAAATGGGAAGCGAAATAGGGAAGTTTCGACCTGAATTGGGATTCTTTATGATTCTTTATGAATCTTCCGAGGATTGACTCATGGGGATATCAATAGATAATATGTGTTTCCTAATTTTTTGTTGTGATTTCATGCAAAAAAAGAAGTTGAAACAACAACAATCCCCTTAGAAGGTCTCAGCACCGTCTCAATGGGTAGGTGTCAACGTTGACCTAAGGCCAAGCCAAGTTTGGAGCATCACTGCTTGGAAAGTCCGCCTAGAGTCGAAGATACTTGTCCTATTCCAAATGATTTTCTTAGACTCTTGAATCGTATCAGTATATACTTTAGAAATATTTGAAAAATCTTCCACATCATTTTCCATTTTTCAATTTGTTCCTGGAGGGTAATTCTTATGGTCAGCCTTTGTAACAGTAATAACAGTAACAACTGCGCCGCCAACGGATGCAGCCAACGAATCCCAAAACACCATGGCCTGGCTAAGCCCTCGGGTGGTATGAACCAGCCATGGAAAAGCTTCACCTGCAGAGCTGACATATTGATCACAAAAAGTGTAGCCTTTCGATCTATGACATTCTATGACATTCTATGACATTCTATGACATCTTTGGAAAAACAAAAACAGAAACGGCGACAAAACGTTGCACAACCAAGTAACGATCAAAGAATCGCACTGGCTGCTTTTCGATGTACTCTGCCCATTGGCGTTTGCTGTCGAGGCAGCTTTTCAGCGTGGCACCAAATGCGCCATGGTTCAGGAAAGTAATGCCATCCTGTAAAGAATATCGACGGAGAATCGAACGGCAAGCGATTCTCACTTGAGACAAACGGATGACAAGGACACAATCGTATCCCAGTTAAGTCAACCTAGGACACCAACTATCGGAAGGTTTTGCGGTAAATGGCCAAGACAGTGAAGTGCATGTTGACATTTGGGAAAAAACGACATGTCAGCCGCTAAATATTTACAATTCCCACCCACGTACAGGTTGACCATGTGCTCTTTGTATTGGTGGATCCGCTCACGTAAAGACAGTAGGTGACACAAACGTGTCATCTAGTTGGCTTAGTTTATGAACCTATTCTGTTGCTCGCTATACCTGTATCTACGTATATCTAATGTATGATTGGTTCCTTGAAGAAAAAAAACTTTCTTTTTCGAACATCCCTCGCTCCAATCCTCGAGCAAGAAGTGCTTTCGCGCTTCCGCTCCAAAATGGCCACTGGGACCTTCCAAGCGTGGATCAACACGGACCGTATGTATCTTTCTAATATCTTTCTAAAGCTCCTTAGACACACAACACTTCCCTTGGAAGCCAAAAAAGATTGGTGACGTCAACTCCCTGGTAGTCATGGCAAATCATCCCAAATTTGGTACATTTTGGTAGTTGAAAATGGTCCCAGCAAGTTTCAGCACCCAGCATTGAACCCATTGAAACCCCCGACCTCAGGATCGACCAGACGGAGCCAGTCCAAGGCTTCCAGGATTCTCCGATGGCAGAGGAAATGGCCTCGCTGGCACCTTATACTGCCCCGTCGGCTGCCTGCATGGCGCGACATGGATTGCCTACCTGGAAACATAGAAAAAGCTATGGAAATCCATGGCTTTCCCTAGGAAATGTCCTAGAAATGTCCTAGAAATGGTGGATTTTCCATACCTTACAGCTCTTACATTACCACAAACCAGGTCATACTAACCTCCGGCTCGCGGCACCTCAGCAGCTCTAAGACGTTGGAGCAATGAAAGGAGCCAAAGACACGCCGCGCCATGGCACAGCTGGTGGCCGTTGGCCACGGCCAAGTGGATCTGGGTTGGTGGCTGACTGATTTTCGTGTCTACTTAGTGATAGTGATCTCTGATTGAGAAATGGAGAACATTATATATGCCATGCAATCTTTTCGTCCGACAGTTTGAAAATGGTGCGATTGGACTTCCACTGTATATCACTAGGAGGCACATCGATTGGAGTCTGGTTTAACCTCATTGCTATTTCA